CATGTTAATTAATGTCACATGTAAGTCGTATTGGTCAAAGTCTGAGGCCTTTAATTAAATCGAAAACTATATTTCAATTCATCATCATCATCAATAGTCAACACCTATAACAGTACACTGCTGGACATAGGCCTCTCCTTAGAAAGGAGGTTTTAACCTACTATACCACGCTGGCCAAACGGGTTGATATAGGGTTTGTTTCAAGTTTTCCTTCTCTTTGCAGTGTTGTTCTCCTCCGTAGTTTGCTCCCTTAGTCGGCTCTTACGACACCCACGGGATGAATAGGGGTGGTCACATTCCGTATTCTTAATCTTCAATTCAATAAAAATAAATACTATATTCAGGTACACTTAACCATCATCAACATCTTTTAATAGTCTACTGTTGGACATAGACCTCTCCTTAGAGGTCCCCCCACCTCCTGTTGGTTGCTACACGTTGTGATTGTATGATGATAAGCACGGTCATTTGTTCTGTGCCTGGGTGCACTTTATCTATAATATATATATATTTACAAATATATAAGTATGTTTATCAGCAGACTAGTCACTAGTACATACAGGCTCTGCCTAGTTTGGGATCAGACGGCCGTGTGTAAACCGTGTGAAAATATAAAAAACATATAAATATAAAGGAGGCTTGGGCCTATATATAACATAATCAAAACATTTGTAATATAATAAGAAAACTCATGATGGTAGAGGCTTACTATCAACAAACGTAATCCTGTCACCGCTACTTAGTAATGTAAGGAAGTAGATACATATATCTTTATTACTTTAGTTTTATTACTTCAGTGGAGAAAAAAACATCATAACAGTTATTTATTTATCAACAATTTATGCATGTCATTGTTAATGTATAAATTATATTCTCATAATGTATACCTTTTACACACGAACGTATAATCAATATTATTATTATTATTGAAGTAAACAGTATAAATTAAAAATCAACAAAAAAAAACGTCATCCTTAGCATTCTGAGAGCCTTCTCCCAAACTAGGTTGAGGTCGGCTTTCAGCCTACTACGACACTGCTGAACTTCAATTTTTACGTAGAGCGACTGCCCTGAGACCTCCACAACACACTCCACAAGTTGACGGACTTTTTAGGGCTACAACTACTTGCAACGATTGCCACAGATGCTCGTATGTCAGCTGGCAGCCGGCCGACGGCTTAACGTGTTTTTCCAGACACGGATTTATTTCATACTATTTTTTATTATTAAGTTAATATTAGAATTTGAATTATTTACAAAATGATTGTAAAATTCTCAAAATAAGCTTAGTATTGTTGAGATTGTTTAGTCTCTGTGATATAAAAGTAGTAATAATAAACCCTTTTAAAAAAAAAGTTGAACCGACTTCAAACAACACCGACAAAGAGCACTAAAAATTAAAAAATAATTACAAATCTAAGTAAAAAACTATAATAAGTACCCTCAATGTAACAGGTAACATTATAATACCAATAGTCCCTTCTAGTCTGTTTGAAGTCGGTGCCAAGCCAAATAGGTGCTTGATAGGCATGGTAGAATGTAGCGCGGCAGCTGCAACAGTCTTGATGCTGCGCAAAACATGTTGAACGAGCTAAAGTGGACGAACATCTCCAATTATATTATTATTTTGAATGGTTTAATAAGTAGTTGATAAGTTTGCGCACGTAATTTATCTGGTTCGTCTTTATTAATTAACAAAATCTTCGATGTTTCATTAGAATTATTTTGAATTCTTAATTTTTCATTGTGCTAATATACAGCTGACATAGACCAGTATTACTTATTGTGCATCGAGCTTGGCACCGACTTCAAACAGATTAGAAGGGACTATTGGTATTATAATGTTACCTGTTACATTGAGGGTACTTATTATAGTTTTTTACTTAGATTTGTAATTATTTTTTAATTTTTAGTGCTCTTTGTCGGTGTTGTTTGAAGTCGGTTCAACTTTTTTTTTAAAAGGGTTTATTTTACCATTTTTAGTGTAGGATATGTTTATAATGAGTAGATAAGTACGATATTTAAAACACTACGTACCGTAATGTATAGTAACAAACTGTAGTTTGTTAGATTATATTAAATTACTGCTGGACATAGGCCTCTCCTTAGAAAGTTGACCCACACAAAATTTAAGAGTTTTTTCCAGAACTATTTTAATAAATTAAGTATAAAATTACTTACAAACGAAATGCGATGCCATCCATAGCAACAAAACGTCAATCCGAATTATTTTAACAAGATAGAATACAAAATTTCAACCTTTTCTTCTTAATACAACGAAAATTACTGTGGGGACATAAATACTGCAAGTTCTCTGCGCATCATATCGCGCAGTCTCTGACGGTTGCCATGGTTTGTTTGGCTAAAGAAATACTCGTAACTAAAACACGTTTTCGGGGCTGTCAAATTCCCAATAATTGTGAGGGTTTCCCTCGATTTCTCTAGGATTCCATCATCAGATCCTGAATTGGTGGTAATGGGACCAATTCGGGACCATACCCTTTCGATAACAAAAAGAATTTTGAAAATCGGTCCACAATTGACGGAGAAATCGCGGAACAAACATACATAAAAAAAATAAAAATACAGACGAATTGAGAACCTCCTCTTTTGTGTTTTGGAAGTCGGTTAAAAAGAAAACATACTGTCGAATCAAAAACCCTCCTTTTTTGATGTTGGTTAAAAATCGACTAGCATGAAGCTCCTAGTTGAGACGAATCAAATGAGCACAAACACGGCGGAATTGCTTTATTTTATTACAGAGTTCCATGGCTATTTACCGTCTCCATCATCAGACCCTGAATATCACATAGGATCGGAGTCCTTATTAATTAGACTCAAACACATTCAAATTCGATGGTATTACATAATTTTGTTACAGAGATCCCATACTCCTAAACCATTCATCATCAGCTTCATCATCAGCTCAGCAACATCAGATGGTGACCATTAGATGCAAAAATCTACATAGATTAAGATAATTTCTGATAAACAGTGTATATGCCTACAAAATTTTAGGGTTTCCCTCGATTTCCCCAGGATCCCATCATCAGATCCTGACCTGGTGACAATGGGACCACCTCTGACGTATGACCTACCAAATAAAAAAAGAATTATTCAAATCGGTTTATAATTGCTGGAGTAATCGCGTAACAAATATACAAAAAAAAAATACAGTCGAATTGAGAACCTCCTCCTTTTTTTGAAGTCGGTTAAAAATATCATGTATGTATAATAAAATGGATACATCGGCCTTCAGGCTTACCAGTTTATTGATTTTAATCGACTGTACGGATGGCGTAGTGGTATCAGCGGTCACCACGCCGCTTACTATTATGCTGGGTGTTGTGGGTCCGGTCCCCACATGAGACGAAACTTTGTGTGCTCTACAAATTGTGGTTCTGAGTCTGGGTACTCTTTGTGTCCGTTTCATGTTTGTAAAGTCGCTCGCCACACAGGATATATTCCTCATGAGGGAGTTTTCTTTTTAAAAAAAAGGGGATTTTAAAAAAACATGTTATTTCAGTTTTATAAAATTTAACACCAAATCATTGCCCCTATGCCTCTACCTAAAATATTTTTTTTATTAGGATAACGATTTTAATATAAATGAAATTTCTTTTTTATCGCTCTCACAAATGAAATAAATCTAGAATTTAAAAAATAATATTGAATTCTTAGTTAATAAATAGGCACAACAACAATCACACAAACAAATAGGCACAATCTAATTGTTACAAGCCCGCGGTTTCGATCGCTTAAAAAAAGAATTTCTTTATTCCTCAGAAACGTTTCTTTAACCTTACCTAATGCCTTTCCCCATAAAAAACAGTATGCAAAATTTCACAATGCTTCAACATAGGTAAACTGTAATCCTTTGTACAGCAAAACAACGCATAAAAAATAAAATAAACATTGAATTATTTACTTAAGAATAAATCTTATCTTTGTGTATACCTATTTACTAGAAAATAACACAAAAATTAAATTAGACTACTAATATGTAAGGTAAATTACAACTACGTTTTCTACGTTTAAATACGTTTATGTTGCATAAGTTACGTTAATACGCTGTTATTCTTTTAATCTTAGAACGATAACCTTTTTAATGTTGTAATCATGACACATATTTTATAACGCAGTAATTTTCTACTGCGTTAAAAAATATGTGTCATGATTCTAATGACTGGTGGTATAAATATTCACAATGTAATTTATAATAGATAAAATTTACTCGTATGTATTTAGTACCCTTATTCTAAGAATACGGAGTGTCACCACCGCTATATTCATCCTAAGGTGTCGTAAGAGCCGACTAATGTAGCTAACTACGCAGGACAATAGCACCGCCAAGAGAAACAAAACTTGAAACAAATCCTATATCAACCCCTCTGGCCAGCGTGGTACAGCAAGACACAAACTCCTTTCTAAAGAGAGGCCTATGTTCAGCTATGGACTGATAAAGGCTGTTGATGACGATGATCTATGTATCTAGGAATATATAAGCTAGTTAATTTAAAAGTATAATGCATCTGGTGGACGTCAAAAGACTTATCAGCTATTACATAAGTGGGACTAAAATTATAGTGTGCAAAATGCGGGTGTTCAACACGCCTCTGTCTCCCCTTTCGGGGATAGAGACGTGAGTGACGTGTATACCTACTCGTATGTGTGTGTGATCCTAACGAAACTCAAAGTACGAGTGTACTACATAACTAGATCATAAGAAGGTACATAAAGTACCTATTTCCAACTTCTTTTCGGTTTAAACGCAGAAAGAAAAGTTAAAACTTTTAGTAAAACATTATCATTAGTATCTAACTATCATTGTTTTTATTTTTATTTAAATTAGATTTGATGCCTAAGAATGAAAAAGCTCCTATCTTCTTTCGTCAGTCTTAAAAAAAACAGTTTCATTAATTAAATTATAATATTAGTAGTGTCATATTGGCGATGACTAGTGTTAGTTTAGTACCTAAAGACTAAAGTATATATTTCAGGTGAAATATCCATTATGTATTTGTCTGTAAGGTACAGATTTGGATGGGATGAAGTCAAATACAGTATGTTCCAGAGCTATAATTTAATCCTGCATTCTATCGGTGAGTATTAAAGCAATTAAAAAGAAAATAATACGTCATAGAAAAAATATAGACTGACTAAAATTTAAAAGAATCAATATTCAACATCTGGTTGTTTTAAAAAGAAATCATTGGATTTTTCTTGCCAGCCTGAGTTTCTTTAATTTTATTATTTGGTATTTAAGCTTCCAATGTCAGTTACATAGTCAGCATGTAATCGAAATAATCGATAATAATTGTATTTCAGGTACAACGTTCTCAGTTTTAGTATTTACCAAATATCTCGGATGGCACGATTCTCTGCTGGGCATCGTGTCAACTTTGAGTAAAATTACCGCTTCTTTCGTCTTCTGTTTTGCTCAAACCGGCGCCGCATTTTATTTCGGTAAGTTTTGTAGGTCAGTTAACATCTAATACTTTTTTTTTTTTTAAGCGGTGGTATTTCTAAACTGAAATGCCTTTAAAACCTCGAACGCACGCACTTGTGAACCTTGTGTGGCAGACGTCCATTGACAGTCGTACAAATAAACTAATTGGTTACCAGATGGTAAAGTTACTAACTTACCATCTAGTGACTCATTAGTTTTTCTTAATTATCACGTTTTAATATGGTTTTTTTTTTCAAACGGGCAATACCTACAAGTTTTTAAATAAAATAAAATCAAATCAGTTAATAAATGCTGAAGTTCAGAGGTAACAAACATAAAAAAAAATGCATCTGAATTGATAACCTCCTCTTTTTTTGTAGTCTATTGAAGAAAACATAAAATTTGCTCCTGATTGGTATTTCTGCATCTATATCATTCAAATTACTCTAGGCACAATGAATATGTATATATGTGTATCAAAACACCACAGCATTAACACATCAATGCCTCATAGTCTAATACAACGATAAAAATTTCTTAAAAAATAAATTTAGGTTTTATTAGTATTTAAATAATATCATTTAGGCAATATGCCTATCTTCTAACTCATATAGGTATTATTTATATAAACTTGTAATAGCGTTTGAGCTATCACATGTTTGTTTACAATCTTAAGCGAATATAATCCCTAATTATATAAAAAATAGTAAGTACAAAAACTGCGACGGGTTTAACCCACAATAAAAAATCTTAGCGACGACGCGTAAACATAGTAGCAGTTGATGTGTAAATTTATTGCACAATGACTTCAAAGAAAGTATGAATATTTTCCTCGTTTAAAATTTAAAAACTTAGCCATATGACATGTGACTTCAAAATAGGAACTCAGTCCAGTATAATTGATTTGACCGCTTCCAAATTTTAGATATTACATGCCACGATGGCTAATTTAAAGACAAGCCAAGTATTCATTGTAAATTACTTTTAATACCTTCACACCATCTTATTACACGTGTTAGGTGATAAGATAATGTTCCCATACTATATTCAGAATATTAGACAATTTTATGGTTACAGTAACATGACAATAAACCTTTATGGTGGTGATAATGGTAACCTTGTGGAATAATAAAACAATGACGACCGGATGGCGTAGTGGTTTGTGTAAGGGACTGCTATTCCAAAGGTTGCGGGTTCGATTCCTGCTGAAGTCAAACATTTGTGTGCATGAACTTTTAATGTTTGATTTGGTCTGGGTGTTTCTATGTATAATAAGTATGTATTTACAAAAAAAAAGTATATATAAATTTATATCAGTTGTCTAGTACCCACAGTACAAGCTCTGCTTAGTTTGGGACTAGATGGCCTCGTGTGAATGTGGTAGAATATTATTATTATTATATTATTAATGTGGAAGTACTTATTGGTTTGCTCAAGTAATTTTGAAAAGGGACTAATCTTTATAGGAATGACCAAAAGTCTCTATTTTGACATCCCTGTTGGTCTAGTATTTGGAGCTCCTTAGTGATGAATTAAAAGTCGGGGTTCCATTTCAACCCATTACAAATAATTGTATGATTAGAATGAGAGTTTACGTTTGAACTATAAACTATTTCGAAAAGAGACAGTATTGACTTGATTGCTTGGAGTGACTTACCAAGGAGTTTAAAAAATGATCCTTGAAGAATGCAAAAATATATTGAGATATAGGGTAAATACGTTAAAAGGCTATGGTCACTACTTACAGGTAAACCAAGATGAAAACTGCATAGTGCTCCGGAGGACTGAGGACCAATCTTAAATGTTCAAATGTGTTTATGAATTTCTGATTTCAGGACCTTTAGTTGAAATACTGAACGGAACTTCACTGTTATCGATGAGGTCCATAATGTCCAAATTGGTGGAAGTGGATGAATTGGGTAAGATTTTTACTAACGAATCTTTGATAAATTCGATAAGAAAAATGTTGATATGTCTTCTGTGACTCAGAATGCTAAAAAATCCTGGCCTGTTGTTTCTTCTTCATGAGATGCTGTTTGGTCACCTTCTTCACATAATCTATTATGATTATGTGAAGAAGGTGAGAGATGGAAAGAAAGTCGCTTTGCTCGTCTAACTTTATATCCGTTCTTCCTAAACCACGCAATGGATTTTGATTTGCTTTTCAAGAAAGCTTAATGTGTGGTTTATATAGTTTTATATCAGTACAAAAATCTATATTTATGATGCAAGAAGTGAATTTACGTCACATAAGAGACTTAAGAAATACTTAAGTATGATATACTATAAAAATAGTAGTCTACCGTGCGAAGTCGAATCGCAGCGGGTCACTACTACTTTTACTCGTATAATATTTTTTATAGTTTTTATGTTCGTATCTGTTTATGCTAGTATTTGTATGAGAATGTGTTGAATGTGTGTCTGTATGTGATCATATATATGACTTATATGTGATCGCATATCGTATCACGTATCACATGACATGGCACTTAGACCAGTATCGCATTGTTACCTATCTATGGAGGCTTGTTGTTAGCAACATAAACACACATTTTTATTAACCATAAATTTATTAGTCTGTAAGCCTTCTTCAAAAGTAAATACAAAAATAAATAGCTAAATATTTAATGCGACTATTGATACATCTTAGTTTGGTTTTGCTATTAGAGTGTGTTTTTGATTAATTTTATTCCTGATAATCGGTCAAGCAAGTGCAAATTCAAGCTGTACCGTACTTACCGATACCTCTTCAAATACGTGACGACTACGTTGAAAATATCCGTTGAATAGATAATTTTATTCTGATTACTCTGATGATCTCACAGGATAAGCTAATTTGTATAAAAATGTATTTTAAGATTACTCGATGATGAATTTTCTATATATTTTTTTAGGAAAATTGAGCTCTGTAGTTGGACTAGTTGAGAATCTAATGCCTTTGCTCTATGTCCCGATGTATACGAGGGTGTACTCAGCAACGATGGAAGTTCTACCAGGAGCCGTGTTCCTGTTAGGAGCTCTTCTAACTCTTCCTGCTGTTGCTGTACTCTTGTAAGTTCTTTCTTTAATAATTGTTTTTTAATATTTTTATGTAGTTTCAAGTGTATTGACGGATTAAAAATATGGAGTGTCCCCACTCAAATTGATCCCATGGGTGTCGTAAGAACTGACTAAGGGAGCAAACTCTATAGAACTACAGCACCGCAAAGAGAAAGCAAACTTGAAACAAACTCCATGCCAACCCGTCTGGCCAGTGTGGTATAGTAGGACGAAACTTCCTTTATAAGAAGAGTCCGATGTCCGGCAGTGGACTATCAAAGGCTGTTGATGATGATGATGATGATGATGTAGTTTTAAGAACGTTGTAAAATATTGGTCGAGATTATGCTCACTTACTGAAGTCATAAAGAATAATATTGATAGACCAAATATTGTTCTCAATTTAGTACACTAAAGCAAATTATTTTTACCTGAAATATAATGATTAAAAACCTTAATTCTTTTTACAGTTGGTTATTCTACGAGCACAGAAAGCAGCTCAGAAAATTGCAATCTAGCGATATTCAGCGAAAATTATAAATGTTTTAGGATATATTTTTACTGTTAAGTAAATAACATCTGCAAAAGAAAATCAAAGCCGAACAAATTTAGGATTAAGTATTACGTACAGACCCTAGGTAATTGTTCACACATCCCATGGATGATATATGTATCTACGTGTTAGTAATTTAAATAAAACCTGAAACGGTACAATGACTCTTCTTCTTTAAAATCTTCTGCAACCCAAATATTAATTAACTTGTATTGACTGAATATCAATTACTATAATCAATTAATAGACTGCACGGATGGCGTAGTGGTTTAAGCGGTCGCCACGCCGCTTTCTACTACGACGACGACGCTTTGTGTGATCCACAAATTGTTGTTTTGAGTCTGGGTGTTCTTTGTGTCTGTTTCATGTATGATTGTAAAGTACCCCCCGCGACACAGGATATACTCCTAATACGGGCGTTGTCTTTTTAACATTAACATTTTTTTTTGTGATGACTGGCTCTGATTTATGATTATATTAACAGGAGTTCATAAAAAGTGCTCCTACAAGAGAAAATGTTATTTTTAAATTGCTGACTGCAATTTAAATATCTTTTGTGCGCTTCAGATTTTAACTGAAATCATAAATGTTTTAAAATACGTTTTTACTGCTACGTACAATAAGTAAGACATATTTCTTTTGCCAAATTAACAAGATAGACTAATCCTTATCTAAGACCTTAAATTATTGTTATTAATTAGTCGGATATTCTCTTTTTCCGGAGAAACAACTAGGACGATCTTTAACAGCCGAGCTATACTATAGCCAGTATACTCGTATGTCTACATAATGCTAGTTATACAATATAACATAGTATAGTAATCTTGCCGATCTATTTATATGAAAGAGTAGAAGGATTTGAACGAAGCTATAATTAGTATTAACCACGACTAAGAGACCATAAAAACTGGTCCAGTAAGTTCGATTTAACGGTGAACCCATCTAAATGCCAAGTATAATAGGAAGTCCTAAAATGACAAACAAAATTGGCATTAGTATTACTGAAATGTTTTTTGATGTTACAATTTTGCTTATCAATCGTTCGGTCAAGGATTTTGGTCTGCATATAGATACGACTCTGAATTAGCAAACTCAGGTAACTATTATCAATCAGAAGGTTTAAAATATTTACAGCAGCCTTTATCGCCTAAAAGTGAAAACAAAGACGATGCTTGTGCAGACTTTGTTGTTTTCAGTAATCGACTATGATGTTTGTTATCTCGATTTGAATACAGATCTGCTAAATAAATTAGATCAAGTTCTTAACATTGCATTCTTTGCGAAAGTAAGATCAAATTTTCACTTGTCGTCTGTCATAGTTAACTACAAGACAGTGCCGCAGTTCGAGGGTATGACTATTTTTTACAACTTACTTATCTAAAATACCTACTTTTATTATCACTGCTGTAACCATGACAGAAATCTTTGCCCTTCTAATAATTTTTTTATTTATTTTACACTTACTGCATTACATTTTGCACGAAGCGGACTTAATGCCGCATGGCATTATCTACCAGTCAACCGACAACAGTCTTCTTATTTGGCCTTCATATATTTTCAGAATGGTGCATTCTTATTTATTTATTTAAAAATTTTAAGGATCTTCAACAAAGGCCAGTCCATAGCTTAAAGTAAATATTTCACAATAATCTTTAGGTGTACTCCCTCAATTAGACGAGGCCACAGCATGCAAACATTAGTAACAAGTTATATTAAACCTATGTATCACATATTACATACAGAATCACAAATAAATCATAAATTAATTAATTTATGATTAATTAATTCTATTCGCTTCATAATTATGAAACAAAAGAAAACATAAGCTGCCTTAGTTGGGTACTGCCTTAGTTGGGTACGTATCCATATATTTATAGCATTTTGACGAAGCTAAAAGCTAAGGAGTTACAGTTACAGTTTAATAACGCATACTGATTAAGGATGATTTAGTATCTTCTCTATTCCCTAAGTGCCTTTTGTTTCTGTGCGTAAACCTCCTCGGATGCCACCCACCGGCAGTTATGTCGGACTCGAACCGCCTAAAACAGTCTCGGGTATAAGTAGCCGGAAACGTGGTGTATCCTAGGTAGGAAATTCCTGGTGTTCCGACGGACTCCGAGCCATCTACGGCTTCTAGATGACCCCCTCGTGTGTGCGAACCACGGTGTTCCCATCCTAAAACTTAGGACGCCCTGATTTCAAAGCGTGTCGCGCCGCCGACCCGGTCTGTTTCTGCTAAGTTGACAGATAAGGGAGGTCATAGCCGCAATCATGGTACTAAGCTAAGGAATTCCCACTCCGATGGCCGCCTCAGATCAACCCATGGCGGGAATTTGTGTCCACGACCCGACGCAGAATCCAGCCATCGCAAAAGTGACACTCAGGCGCTGCCTTCTTGCGGATCAGACACAGGTGATCCCCGAAACATCTTTTTTCTGATAATCACCGGAAAAAGATAAGTCGGTACAAGACGGACGCGTGATGCCAATCTTCCATAACTCGTCTTACCGCAGTAATAATTTACAAGTCGTTCCTACAACTTCTACACGATGATCTGACCCTCGATCTCTCGAGTATTAGGACGCCAACCCAACTCCCGCGTCTCCTCGCGCTACTGAGACAGAGGCCGCAAGGGCTCTTGCCTCCTGGTGGAGTTCTGGTAATGAGACTCGCCATCTTAATAGATAATTAAGATGGCGAGTCTCATTACCAGAGCGAGATTATCATTAATAGAGCGACGTATCTGGCCTCCGTCCATACTGGGGTCCTATAAAGGGCAATGACCCGCACAGCACCCGAGTAGAGTATTCTGCAGGATATTCCTTAAAGGACTAATTAGCTCCTAGCAGATTAAGTTTCTATAGATAGTGGGTCATTTTTTTTGGTCTATAGATCGTTATAAATTGCTGAAAAACCCTCCGTGACTTGATTATCTTCTTAATTAATCCACTTATTTTTATTTTTTTATGATTTATCTGAAATATCCAAATTGAATATTTTCTTGATGAGGGAGGACGTGCTGTTCTTTATTTTTAAATATTATGTCTATGAAATATAAAATAAAATATAAACAAAAAACATAAACCGTTTTTAAATATTGAAATACCTACTAAAACCTTTAGAAAAATACATGGAATACCTAAGTAAACCAATCGTGTAAATTGCGTCATTACTTTTTAAAAAATACAGGCAATACACATATATACATATGCATCAAATACATAAACAGAAGTAATACAGGTTGATATGGCGCCTGCAGACGCAGAGTGAGATAGGCACGCCAATAAATACACTATACACCTCAATATCATCATGCAAATACTCTTGTACCACAGACTAAGACAATAACATCCACTTAAACTAATCAAATAAATTACCTTCACAGACTTGGCTATAACAAGCATTAGACAACCGTTATCTTATCAGTAATTGGCTCACATGTGTCTTTAACAATCGTGCTAAACAATGATCAAAGGATGGTGCCTTGTAACATGTTGAAAAACAGTCCAAATAATATTAGCTTTATTTTATTAGGTAACCCATCTCTGTGATAATGTAACTCGTAACTCTGATTAGTATTATGCGCCTCATAGTACCTATTATCAGAATAGAAATACAGCAAGGCTGTTGAGTCAGGTGCTTTAAATAATAAATTGAGTAAGAGTCTTGACCAAAACTACAATATTATACAATGAACAAAAAACAAAATTCATTTGCCCAAGGACATGTTATGTGAATGATGTACGTAAAAATTGAGCTAATCGAGTTTTGAATACATTAAATGTACTCGCTATGTTTTATTGTACAGCTGTGCAACTTCATATGTCAGTATTTTTTCAGGTAAAACTAAGAAACTAGTTCGGAAAGTACTACGTTGGGTTGTATGTCTTACTTTGGTGAATGATATACTAGATTGAATATTTTTGGTGAGAATTTTTCGGATAAAAAATATAGTGACACTCCGACAGTGCCGACAGAAGTGAAAAATTGAAAATTTATTTTATTTTATTTCGATTTGGAAAGTTCAACATGAATATATACCTATTTTGTACGTATATTATATCCACAATACATGTTTATACTATACATAATTATATTTTCAACTCAAACTCATCTCTCGTGTAGACGGGGTCAATACATGTAGATCCTTATATACACAGGTGTCAGTAACGGTAAGTGTCGCGAGTTCTATGGGTTTTTCTAAAAAAATACATTTTCTGTTTGTTGTTCAAAAATGCCCAACGCGCCTAAAGAAGTTTTCACTTAAAAAACCAATGCAAAGCAATTTTCAAGCTACCTGCGTTCTCGGGGAGGACAAAACGTACGGTAACACACTTATGACTCTTGAGTTGCAGTCTGATATAAAAAAGCCGTGTGGTGTCGTGGGACACCCGATAGGAACGAAGTTGTGACGATCGCGTAAAACTGATTTGACACGATTTTAATTACAACGCCATCTATGAAAGCGGCTATTACCTACATATTAAAAACAATTAAAACCATTTATACATTGGTAAAATCTCCTTGCGAAATGATTTCCTATCTATTCGATAGATGGCGCTGAATGTCTGACAAGATGATACGAAAATAAAGAGCAAAAAGCCAACATCACGTGGTATTCCCAGGCGGTCACCCATCCAAGTACTAACCACGCACGATGTTGCTTACCTTCGGTGATCGGATGAGAACCGGTGTATTCAACATGGTATGGACGTTGGCGAACGTTAAAGCAAATTTAATGTATGGTATCCACAGTTAGACGTCAATTTATATTAATAAAAAAGTGTCGTTCCAAATTTTCGTACGAATTTTTTCCGTCTTGCCCCCTTTCACAACGCGCGATAAGGAACTTCGTTCCAAAATAATAAAAATAAACTATACTATAATAACCATACTATACTTTCATAATAATAAACTAAAAACAAATTTAATTTAAATTATATATACATAAATCATTACGACTCATTGATAACGATAATAGCCTTTTATAGATCAGAGACCTGTATTGTTTATTTTTAGTATAAGTGGGCGTTAAATTTAAATTAGTATTCTACAGATTATTATCACAGGCCAGTTTAGTTTGAACTAGTGGTAGATATATCAATAAATATTAAAAGTAGCAAAATAGTCTGGCCAAAAAGAAACAATAGCAGGTCGATTCGTCTCGTAACCATGTCGGATGACAAATATTAAAACGTGGTCACATGATGACGATAACGAGACGCATGTAATGCTTTAAAATTGTAATAATTTGCACGTTTTATAATTGTGTTTAGTATTTCAAATTCAAATTACGAAAAATACCTCCCTTCAACATTCTTCGCCGTCTCGATCCATACACGATATGGACCTGTCGTGAAAATAAACCTTACTCACGCCGACTCCGACAGACAACCTCTTCCTTTCTTCAACCGTAATACAAGATTTACTGCATAAACTGAATATTATAACAATTTTGGTATGACATAAATAGATTAAAAGCTTTGCCAAATAATGAGCTTTTTTAGCATTCTTTAACCTAAGTCATTAACTTAGATGAAGTACTTCAAGATGGAGAGAGCAAAGATATATAATCTAATTATGGAGACTTATCTGACGTACCTGTAAGTAAGTACCTGTAAGCTTCCGCAGAAAAAAGTATTTCTAAGTTGAAAACGATTAAAAACTACTTAAGAAACAGTAGTAAGCAGGTCCGACCGCCTGCTTTAGCAATACTTTCCATCGAAGCAGATTTAGCTGCAAAAATGAATTACAAGTTACCAGAGGACTTCAGTTCAATTCAGGACAAAAGGCAATGAAATTACTTTGGTAAGAACTTAAATCACGCAAGCTACAAAATAAAAACTCTAAAGATTTCAAATCTATATGCTTTCTAATACTAATATAAATAAATTAAATAATCATTACGCTTTTCTTTCACTATCATGGGTGGGAAGGCGAAATAGATGTATTGGGCACCTATGTCTTCGGAACAAAAGAAAAGGGGCCTCGCTGATGCGACTTCGCTCACGTCTATATTAGTCCACGCCACGCCTCTGCCAACAGGCCAATAATTTAGTCGTTTTTACTTAAAACTATGCAACTATTTATAATATATATGTATTTTTGATTTCTATAAATAAACTCGGTTCCAAAAATAACGGGTCAGTCACATAAACCCGAATATCTCCCGAACTACGTATGACATCCTAATGAAACGAAGACTGTTCAATTGAGAATTTAATTATACAGATAAAAAATAAATTAAAACTTAAATCTAAACTCTCTAACTCTTAACTTACCTCTAAATTAAAAAAAAACTAAAGTTGTCTAATTTTTCTTAAGATTACATTTTTTTATGATTGTTTTTTTGCTGTTTTTCATCACTTTCTTCATTTAATATATATCTTCATTAATGATATATCTTCATGCTTCAAACATTGCAACTTCTATCTTTACGCAGACGATCTAAAAATTATGAAACCCATACGGAGGGATTCAGATGCTATAATGTTACAAGCTGACATAGATTCACTGTCGCACTGGTGCAACGATAATAGAATGTCATTAAATATAGATAAATGCTTCCACATACAATTCACACGAAATAAAAACAAACAAGGCTACAAGTATAGCATTGATGGTATTCCACTTCAAAGTACAAACAAAGTTCGGGACCTGGGCATTACAATAGATGCAAGTTTAAAATTTGACATACATATTCTTAATACAGTCGCGAGAGCGTTTAAGTTGCTGGGATTTGTATTGCGCAGTAGTAAAGATTTCAAAAACCCATGCACTAAGATATTCTTATTCAATTTCCTAGTTAGGCCAGTGTTGGAATACAACTCCATTGTATGGAATCCCCATTACGAAGTGTACAATAAACGTCTTGAAAGTGTCCAAAAACGGTTTCTTTATCACCTTTGCTACAGTGACTATAAAGCTAAGACACTATCTAGCTACACCGAAAGGCTCAAACACTACAATATGCGCACACTCAATAGCCGCAGGCAGTACCTTGATGCTATTTTTCTTTATAAGTTGTACAATGGTTACACAGACTGCAACGAGCTTATGAGTAGCCTATCTATAAATGTACCATCACGTCTACCAAGGATAGGAGCCTACAGTCTATTTTCTGTCCGCTCAGCAAAATCAAACCTGGGTCACTACGCCGCTGTGCCTAGGCTCTGCAGGCAATATAATGTGTTGTCTAAAACTAAAAACCTAGATCTCAGTATCTCATTTTTAAAATATAAAGGTTCCTTAAAAAATATTTTGCAGTGATATGTTAGTAATATTGTCTGCCTACATGTTAATTAGCTATCTATAGTTACATCAAAATTGTGTTCATGATTTAGATTTATGTGCGATCTGTATGTAATATATAGGTTTATTATAACTTGTCACTAATGTTTGCATGCTGTGGTCTCCTATAATTGAGGGAGTACACCGAAAGATTACTGTGAAGTATTTATAGTAAGTCATAACAACTGTGTATATCCTTTGTTGGAGATCCTTAAATTATATAAATAAATAAATAAATTTAATACTTTGTATTGCCTCCACGAGCTCTTCTGACAGCTTCCAGGCGATTAGGCATGCTGTACACCAAATTTCGGAGCCGGTGCTGAGGAATACCTTCCCATTCCTCCACCAGTGCTTGTTTGAGCTCGGGAAGCGTGATTGGTGGGGGGTGTCGACCTTTCACACATCTCTGAAGCTCGTCCCAGGCGTGCTCGATGGGGTTTAAGTCCGGGCTTCGCGCTGGCCACTGCATGAGTTCGATACCGACCTCTTCAAGGTAGTCATGTACAATTCTGGTGGTATGGGGACGCGCATTATCATGCATTAATATGCCATGCCGGTCCATCCTGGCCATGAAAGGACCTACATGTTCATTGAGGATCTCTTCCACGTACCTCTCTGCATTTAGAGTTCCATTTTGAATAAGTAAAAGCTCGGTGCGGGCCTCAGTAGAAATCCGAGCCCAAACTTGTACGGAGCCTCCACCGTACGCCACTTTTTCCTCCACGCGCGCGCTCCGGAAGCGCTCCCCTGGTCTTCTGTACACCAACTGCCTACGATCATGCTTATAAAGCATGAATTTAGACTAGTGTCCAGTTTAGGTGCTCGCGCACGTATCTCTGTCTTGCAATTCGATGTCCCCGTTCCAGTTTGGGGCCATTTGCGGGCCTCAATGGTTTCAAATTTGCTTCAGCAAGACGTCTTCTTACTGTTTGAGCGCTTAAATTGCCACCTCCAAAGCGAATAAAGTGAGTTTTTAGACCAACAGCAATTTGAAAACGATTTCGGAGCATTGTAGCCACCAGTTGTCTGTCTTCCCTGGCCGTTGTGCATCTTGGTCTGCCATTTCCTGGTCTTCTAAGGTGTGATCTGGTCTTTTGGTACCGCTGGACTACCCGCTGAACAGTCGACAAAGATACACCAATGTTTCTGGCTGTTTCACGCTGGCTCCGCCCAAGTTCCAAAAAAGTTAGGATTCTGGTACATTCCTCTGACGTGACTGCCATGCTTCACCTCACAGAATAATAATTATGCACGTGGAAGACGTTCACGATATTTTTTTTTGTGACAGAATAGAAATGAAAAGCATCTATAATGAAATGAAACAAAAATTTTGTTTTTAAAAATAGTCATTTTTTAAATTTTGTTTTTCTAATGAAGTTTTTTTAATCAACCAGTTTAAATAATATGCTATTAGAAGCGCAACTAAAAAGTCTTTATTCTGTTTTTTATTTCATTGATCTAACTTTTACAGTTCTGGAGGTATTTCAATTTTTGTGACTGACCCGTAATTTTTGGAACCGAGTGCAGTTGTTTAAGCGTAATTTCATCACTTCCGAAAAAAGAAACTTTCTAGCTCTAAATGACGTTAACAACACATATCTGAAACTTTGTTGCAATTTATGTATTTGTTCGTAAAGTATTGACGATAACTTCAATTAGACTATAAGATAAAGATAAAAATAATACTAGTGTAACCTATATTAACCGATATTAATGCACCATTATAATTAAATGTATTATAACACACTTAGCACCGTGCTAGATGCACGGTACGTAATTATCGCTATGACCTACCGTTCATTATGCACTAGTCAGTTTGCTTGCAATGTTTGTTCTATAAACATGTAAAGGGACTTGAAATTTAAAATGACTACAAGTGACAAGCGTAAAGTGTACAAATGTGATCATGTTAAATCCAATGAAAAAGATCCTCTTCGTCAAAATGATTGTGTTATAATAGAAAAAGATGAACCAAGTTTTAAAGAGAAAGTCTATGATGTCTTTGCAAATATCACTGTGGAACCATGTGTATTTTTATTGGTAACAGGAAGCGTTTTAAATGGAATGACATCACAAAACCTACAACTGGAGAAAGCATGTCGAGTAAATTTAAATTTTTCAAACGAGATTTGTAATTTTTTAAGGCAACAAGATAGTGTTGGACAAAATGTATATGAAAAACAAACGCAAAAATTATTAGCAAGTGCACTTACATGGAGCACCTATTTAAGAACAACGTTACCTTGCATTTTTGCTCTTTTAGTTGGTTCTTTCTCTGATAAAACTGGATACAGAAAAATTTTCATAATTCTCACGGTTGTTGGCAAAGTACTTATGGGTATTAACAACATTGCCAACGTTTATTACTTTTCTTATATTTCTATGGCAGTAATGGTCTTCTCTGAATCTATTATCGAAGGATTGAGTGGAGGGTGGTGTATTTGCTTTTTGACAGCCTTTGCATATATCAGTAGCATTACTGAAGACGAGAATAGAACTTTTAGGTTGGGTCTTCTCAATTTTAGTATAACAGTTGCTCTTCCGATCGGTATGGGACTTAGTGGAGTTATACTAAAGAATGTAGGGTACTATTCCATGTATGTACTATCTACAAGCTTGCATTTAATAAATTTACTTTATGTTATTTTTATTATCAAAGATCCAAAAAGAACCAGAGAACAAGAAAAAGTAAGTGTTATTTCTTTTTTTCGTTTACAAAACGCATTGAAGTTGCTCATAGAGCTATTAATTTCTTATGCTTTTACTAGTACTAGCTCAAAAATCTAAAATAATTTATTGATGCCTAAATATTTTACTAAAACATTTAAAAAGCAGCATTTAATAAAATGTATAAAATTGTTTTCTTTCGTCGTTGTTTCCCGTAGTTTTATTAGCTTTCTTTATGTGTCATATTTTCTACATCATCAAACACTAAGATTGTCCCTAACTTCGAGTAGAAGTACATATGTTAATTAAGTTAATGACCTCTGATTACGGAAACACGGTACAATTACAATTACAATCTTCATTTATTGGCATTGCCTAGAATTATGCAAGTCATACATTTTTACGATATGTATTTGTTTCTATACGATCGTTAAAAGCTACTTTTTTATAGGAGTAATGTTATATGTAATTTAATTTCATAATCATTTGGTTTTATTCCTTAAATATCCCCTATATTAAATAAGTCAATTTCTGTCCGTTATACTTTATAAAGTCATAATACAGTGGTAGTAGTCGCCTCCTTCGCACTAAAGGAAAACATTATAATTTCAATAATGATTTCCCTTTGCTAAACTTATGTGCACCATTTTTTCTTCAACAGTACAATGAACAGGGATATCGTCACTTAATCCGCACTTTCTTCAAGATTTCAAATGTGAGGGATACAGTGAGTGTAGTTTTGAAAGACGCTCCAAATAATAGACGATTACGACTGTGTATTCTCTTAATTGCAGCCAGTGTATTAATTGGACCAATGTATGGTGAGAATAACCAATTACTTATTAGTATGGTTTTACTACTTTCCGTGTGGTGACGGATTAACGGACGGACTGTCACCACCACTATTCATCCCTTGGGTGTCGTAAGAGCCGACTAAGGGAGCAAACTACGCAGGACAACACCACTGCAGAGAGAAGGTAAACTTGACACAAACCCTATACCAACCCGTCTGGCCAGCGTGGTATAGTAGGCCAAAACCTACTTTCTAAGGAGAGGCCTATGTCCTGCATTGGACTATTAATGGCTGTTGATGATGATAGTTTTACTGATATATTTATTATTAAATGTGAGTCGGTAATGCTAATGATAAAATGCTTATTTATTTTAGTTCTTAATGGAAGTTAATATTACACACAAATTAACCTTACTTATTAAAAAGCAATCGATGAGTCAATTTCCCAATTAAAGAGTTTCTTCACCACTTACAATGTACTGTATTAAAAGATGCCTTCATTATTGCCTTCTTGCTCTTTCGTTAAAGAAAACATGCCATGGCGATAGACCCAGTATAAAAGTGAGTCTAAAACTGTAATTAAAAGTTAACAGGGGTAAAAAAATAAAATTTGTTTGTTACAGGTGAAATGTCCGTTTTATACATGAATGTGAGATACAGATTTGGATGGGATGAAATAAAATTTAGTTTGTTTGAGAGCTACAATTTAGTGGCACATTCTCTTGGTGCGTTCTAAATTTATCTTCATTTTACAGAATTACAACGACACATTAAAAATCTTGTTTTTCTGTTGTTTTGTGTGACATGTACTGTTTGAAGCGTTAACAAGAAGCGTATACTCGTACTTAAAGTACTCTTGTATTAGACTTGAATGCTAAGAAGAATTTAAGTTCTCTTTAACACTTTTCTATAAAAATAATTTAAAAATAACAAGACTAGACCAACTACAACCTCAAGCATAGTAATGAACAAAGGTGACTTTAAAAAAGCTTGTCAAGCTTGTTAGGAATTTAGGTTAAGTATGTGGATGTATAGATAATTACACAATACAATATACATTGCATATATAATTACACAAAGTATTGCATTGGACATAATTTTGTGCATGTTTAACATTACAAGTAAAACCGAATATTCATGTAAAAAATAATTGCAAAATGGGGACAGTTACGCTGTAACCGCTCGCAAACTTTACAAATTTTCAGTCGAGAAAGTGCACGTAATGTGTCAAACATTCGAAAAATAGTAAAAAAATTTGAAGAAACTGGGTCGATTGTGGGTATTAAGAATCCTTTAGGTAGTAAGGTAGGTTCATGCGTACAAGATTCAGCTAACTCAGGAGCTCAAGCCAGCAGTCCATGGAAAGCGCCGGCAATTCGTTCAATGGGAATGGGGCAAAGTGAAGTCGATGCCAATTTTTCGAAAAAAGTTATCTTCTCCGGTGAAGCCCATTTCCATCTGAATGGCTACGTGAATACACAAAAATGACGAATTTGGGGCTCAAAAAATCCTCATGCAATCCATTAGAAACAAATGCACCATCAGCGAGCAACCGTCTGCTCGTCTGCCCCCTGGTTCGGATTTTGGTCAGGCAGTGTTTGGACCTTACTTTTTTAAAGATGAGGCCAAAATTGCAGTGACTTAGAACGGCATTCGTTACAGGAATATGATAACGGAGTTCTTGTAGCCTCAACTGGACAGCATGGATCTGGATAACATGTGGTTTCAGCAGGACGGCGCCACCTGCCACACCGCGCATGAAAAAATCGACTTATTGCAGCAACGATTTCCAGAACACATTATCTTACGAAATTCGTATGTCAAGTAGCCACCAACATTGTGCGATTAAACGCCGTGCGAGTTTTTTTTGGGGTTTTGTGAAATCTCAGGTTAATGCGAATAAATCAGAAACACTTCCTGAGCTCAAATCAGGGATCCAACACGTCATCGGTGTGATACGGCCACATCTCTGTGTAAAAGTCATGGAAAAATTCATAAAAAGAGTAATGGCCTGTCATCAGAGCCGTGGGGGCCATTTGCCGGATATTTTATTCCATACTTAATCGGAACGTCTTCTTTGCAATCCAATAAAAATAACACAACTCTTTCATAAAATACGTGTTGTTATTTTAAAATGACAAAGTGCACTCTTAGTGAGACACCTTTTATAAGTAGTCGTTTCAGTAATTTAACATAATTACTTAATAATATATTCTTTTAGGCACGACGTTTTCAATAGTGGTTTTTTCAAAATATTTTGGATGGCACGATTCTCTGCTGGGCATGGTGTCGACTTTGAGTAAATTGGCTGGCTCATTTGTCTATTGTTTCGCTAAAACCGAAACCATATATTATTTAGGTAAGCCTACTTAGTGACGTCATTGTCTGTTATAAGTGTATTATTACAAAGAAAGAAATATTTTTACCCCTCTTATTATTTACTACACAAACATTATTCATGTTTTTTTATTTCAGTTGTCAATATTAGGGTATAAATAAAAACATGTTAATAAAATATAGTCTATATACTTGATGAAAACTATAAGTTATCTAATAATTCTAAATATCCAGTTGCAGAATCAAGTTTTAATATGATGTATTAGGAGTGCCACAAGGCAGCACACTAGAACCCTAACAAACGATTGGACTCAAGGATCTGTAATAGCTGCATTTCTATGAAAACTAATATTCGATAAATTTCTGTACTTCAAAAGTTTATTACTAAATAAAAACATTACTATAGCAAGCTTTAAACGATTAATAATTATAGATCTTAGTGTGTAGCGTCTTACTGCATTAACGTAGCCGTTCGTTTTTCAAACACAACAAAACCTTTTAACTACCCTGAAGACATATTCCCATAATAAAGATTCAGTATGTTAATCTTATGTACAAATCATCTAAATACTTGTATGATCCATAAAATTATTAATTGTTTAGCTTTTGTAGACTTTTACATAATCTTATGTCACTGCTGGACATAGGTATCTTCTTAGAAAGGAGGTTTTAGCGTAATATACCACGCTGGCCAGACTGGTTGGTATAAGGCTTGTGTCAAGTTTTCCTTCTCTTTACAGTTGTTCTACGTAGTTTGCTTCTTTAGTCGGCTCTTATATATCTATTCAATTTTTGGATATAATAAATAAAATAATTTAAAATAAAGTAGACTAAATATATTCAATTCTTTCTTTATTGTTTTTTTTTTGGGTTAGTTTATTTAATATGCACTGATTATAGAAAAGTATTTTCTTGCGTTATTTATTTATAATACTAAACACTTTGATTTTAGCACCACTGATTGAAATACTAAATGGAACTTCGTTTTTGGCAATGAGGTCAATAATTTCTAAACTAGTAGAACCGGATGAAATAGGTAAGTGATTTAATGTCTAGTTACGAAGTTATGAAAATATGTCCCGTTTTGTATATTCAACACAAAGAGAACATCTTCTGACTAGACTAGCCGTCTTACCTAGATGTTCAACGACTAAATGAATGCCTGGAATTTTAAACCAATTGGCACCAGAATCTTCACTTGCGCGATGCAGCATTAACAGTTTTTTCGCAGTTCGGTATGACTTTATTAGATGACATTAAATTATGGTTTTTGTTGTATGTGGTATTTGCCACTCATATGTCAATGTGAAATTAACTAAATATGTAGAGAATCTTCTGTCTATCATCATAATGTTATTTTTCATAGTTGATAAAACTTATTGAGTTCAACTTTAAAGTCAAATCTACAAAGTGCAAGCTTAAATTCAGTTAAGTCTATAAAGTTTAAATTGAGTCAAGTCTTTAGAATCCTTGATAAAATAGCAGTTATTTCCAATTATGACACACATGTACCTAACAGTAATTTTGACAAATACTTTTAGCAAGATGCATCTTTCGAATGACAGTAGCCAACCTCTTTGGTATTTATTCAATCAGTTTAAAATTCTTATCACTAGCTGGTAGCCTTTTAATTTTCAAGTGACAAAATCAGCAAAAGACGTCAAGTTTGTTGTGAATTATGAAATAGCACGATCAAGTTATGTAAGATATGATATCATTGACACCCAACAAATTCTAAACTTAAAAACAGAAGTGCAAGAGAACACCGTATTGCTTTGCATATAAGTGTTACTATTATTTTCCATTATTTAACTTGTGTCAAATATGCTGCTAATCCGATAATAAAACCATAAAACGCGTATCTGATTATTATATTTTCAGACAATAGGGATGTCTAATACGTACATGTGGTGTACCTGTAGCCATACTGAGAAGTAAATGGCAATCAATACATATAAAATTACTTGCCTTGACTGACTGATTCATCGACGCAAAGCCTAAACCACTTGTTGCCCAAGTGGTTTAGTGGTTTTAATCTTTGAGTTTTGACAGCTGATACTTTTTTTTTTATCGTAATATAATGTTTGTGTTTTTTTTGTCAAAATGTTAAAAAATCTTAAAATGTTTTCTTAGTGGGTGACTAATAAAGGATTTTTAGATATACCCACGCGAGCGAAGTTGCTGGCAATAGCCAGTCAAAAACAGTTCTTTTGAACGTTTTTTTAAATTTATTTTAGGTAAACTAAGTTCCTTAGTTGGACTGGTTGAGAATCTGGTGCCTTTAATATATATACCGCTGTATCTGGGAGTGTATTCAGCTACAATGGAAGTTTTACCTGGAGCAGTGTACTTGTTAGGATCTATTCTGATGCTTCCTGCTGTTGTAGTGCTCTTGTGAGTAAATTTAACTAATATTCTTAATGAAAGTGTCTTTGTTGTAACTCATCTGATCGTTTTCATCCTGTAAAATGTACCTATTATTTCTCAGGGATAGAACAATGAAATATAACACGAGCAAAACCCTAATAGTCAGACATTCCAAATTAAAGTTTTTAAGTTTTAAAAATATATATATTAATAATTTTTCATGGGAGCCATGAAAAAAAGTATAATTCAAATAAATAGCGTAAGTTTAAAATATTTTCCTAGCCATACATTTGACTACCGAGAAGACGGTAATTCAAGTCTAATAATTTTTAGGTCATTACCTATAAAGTTGGAGATTTGTAAGACAATTTTAAAATATAAAAACATTGGTAATTTTTTATTTTGGCTTCAAAGTTCTGGCCCAAATTATCTATACAATTTTACCATTTTGATGGTAGTTTATTTTAGTTATTTAGTATAGAAATCTGCTGGACGCTAGGCGATGAAGTCCACGAAAGCGTTTTTCTACTGCCACTCGAGTGTCGAATTTGTCTTAATTTTGAAAAAAGTAGAAATCTGTTGGGGCCAGGTCCGGTGATTACGGTGGGTGAGCTTTGCAATGGTCTGGCACGACTTCGTGAACTTCACGAAGTGTGAGCTCAATGTTTTTGTGAAGCATTCATTGTTTTTGTGATTCTTAGCAGTTTACATCTGCCGTCACTGTTGTGCTATTCGCTAAGAAGCTATGATGTACAAGTCCGGCGCTGTTCTAATAGACAGTTATCATCATCTTCTTATAGCTTCATTGCAGTTAACAAAGTGTCTCAAAAAGCGCACAGTAGTGGAGCGCCAACTATACTGGTAATGAGGATGAAAATTTTGCCGTGTGAAACGATGGCGAAAAGTTGCGACTGATATTAGTCCGAACAATTCCTCGGAGGGTTGAACTGGACTAGATTTAGTCGACCCCAATCTGAAACCTTCGCTAAGGGAGTTTCAATTTCAGACACAAGTTTGTTTCGACTCTCGATGACGTTTTCCCGAGAAATTTTGGGGCGGCCGGTATAAAGGGCATTTCCCGTGCTATCATCTGCATAGCAATGGATGCTACTAGTTTGCAACATGTCATTGATATGCAGAAGAAATAGTGTGGGTGATACTTGTGGGACACCAGCATTTACGAATTTCAAGTCGGAGCATGCACTGTCGACATGGACCTTAATGCTTCTGACGGCAAGGAAACTTGTGACCTAATTACATAATTTCTCGGGAAGCCCAAAGGAACTGAGCTGAGAAGCGCCTTATGCCAGACGCGGTCGAAGGCCTTCGCTATGCCCAAACTAAACGCACAAGCCTCTTCTTTGGTCTCGATCGCCTATGCCTAACAGTGTGTTAGAAAGACGAGAAGATCACCAGCTGCGAGCGCAGCGACCCCGGTGAAAACCATATTGTTGGCCATTGAGTAGCTGGTGATCATCTGAGTACCGGAGGAGCTGGCTGTTGATTATGGATTCCATAATCTTAGAGACCAAAGGAGTTATGGCTATAGGCCTCTAGTTGGACGGGTCAGAGCGGTCACCTTTTTTAGGGATCGGGTGCACAATAGCTACCTTCCGCGAGTTCAGGAATGAATTATCTTTCCGATTTGACGCAAGTGACTCAATGTTGTTTTGACACTAATTCTAAAGCCCGCAACAAGCCCAGCCATATATTGAGTTGGATCAGCTTCCACTCGCCTTTAATTCGTCGTTGTCGACTATAACTACCGGTTGACCGCTAGGCTCGTTCTTCAACTCAAACGATTTAACCAATAATAGACTGTGTGTATGCAAGCAGTGTTAGGTCCATACACGTCGTTAATGTTTCGTGTTGTTTGCGCAGCGGTATTTATACTGAAAATTGGTTCAATTTTGAAATATGACTTCCTAGTCATATTTCAAAATTGAACGAATTTTCAGTTTATCCATCTAATAAAATACTATTACAAAACAAATAACGGAATTTTAAATTAAAATAGGTAATACAGCTTTAGATTTTTTTAATTTAAATCTACAGATAATTAAAATGAAAATGCTGATTTTTTTAATCTCTAACTTCTTAGATAAAGACCTATTAGAAGCAGTTTAAGTAAAGATTTTTATAATAAATTTGAGTTTTTGGACAATGCTTTGTATTTTACATCACATCATCATCACATCAACAGCTTTTAATAGTCCATTGCTGGACATAGGCATTAGAAATTAGGTTTTGGCCTACTATACCACGCTGGCCAGACGCAGGTTGGTATAGGGTTTGCGTCAAGTTTTCCTCGTATTCTGAAATAAAAAATTAAAATTAAATTCATTTTTCCAGCTGTCTATTCTACGAGCACAGGAAGAAATTAAGAAAATTAAAATCTAGTCAAATAAATTACACAGAGGCAGGATTAGAATGAAAACATTTTGCAACTTTCGCTACTACTACAAGAAGGCTCAGAGCGATTACAGTACTTTTGTTTAACTCCAATCCGCCTAATTACTGTTATTTTCTTGAAAAGTTTACTAGAATCTTCACAAAATGTCTGATGGATTTAAAAACCCATGCGGATCATTTAACTATGTTAAATATTTGTTTTGTTTGTTGTGTATCAATTTGGGATATATTCCTTATTGTGTTGTTTAATGACGGCCGTTCTAATCTAATTTATTATTATTATTAAATAAGATTGGATATAGATGTAATTTTGTCTATCTTAAATTTTTAAGTCTTTAGTATTAAAATCTATAATACTCTATATATATGCGACAATATAATGAATTTGTTCAGCGAATTCTTTAAAAAAATAAGTTTTTAATAACCAACAGTGTTTTATTTATTGAAGTGAATCTATAAACCTGAATTTAATACATTTCATTTTTCATTTATTATGCCCGCAGGTGGCAGAACTTTTAGTTCAGTGTATTTAGTTTATTTATACTAATTGTACTAAGGTGAGCAGACCGAGCATGACTTCAATTTTTTAAAGAACGCAGGCATTTGAAATATCCCTTTCATTTTAATTTCAACAATAATTAAAATAAAAATTGTTATTAAAATATACGACTTGGTTTTAGCGAAAAAACCAAGCAAAATGTTTGGATACCGCAAAAGTGCATATTCTGAAAACACAGAGATTTTAAATCTTTTTATGTGCGAATGCAAATGTGCGAATTCTACAAATCAACAAACACATTCCTTCTGAGATTGCAGGCTAAAAACTTTCATTTGTGTTTCACTTGTTTCTTGACACACAAACACATACTCCTACTCATAATTGACTCTTCTTATCGATTGATACAGATCACAAATATATCTGGATACTGGAGAACCTGGTTATCTATCATACAGTTTTACCTGGACAGTTTCTCACAATATAACACCAAATTAAATATTTTCCGTGTAAATTATTTGATTTGAAATCGACGCAAATATATTTCACAAACGTTAATTGCAACCATCATACCAAACCCATATCAAAAAATTAATAAGAAAGTGAATTTGGTAACTCTTTTTATTATGGAAGAGGGGGTAGACGAAAAATTAATTAAATTTTAACAGATCTACCTGCATTCTGTGAGAACTTAATGCAAAATAGTTTTAGATAAATTTTATCATAGTACACTAGATTAGTATAGACGCATGTCTGTGAACACATAACAAATTATTTGCAATCACGTGCAATGTGTAATCACACATCAGTGCTGGGTTCTGTTGTTATTACCCGTTATAGACAGGTCCAAGACAGTAAAGGTGGGAAAACTCTTTTCGACGTCTAAATATTTATCGTCACATTTCAAGTCAAGTTATTGTTGCAATGTTCTTTATTTTATTGATAAAGAACATTGCAACAATAACTTATAAATCTTAGCTTTATAGCAATTCTTATTCTTCAGCTGTTATTGTACGTATTTTAAATATGAACATGAAACATGATATTTATATATATTATTAAATTAATGATCTCTATACTAATAACTTACTACTACTACTTTTTTTAGCATATCATCAGCACTCTCCTAATACACTCCATCGAAGGAATAGTTTTAATGTCAGATAAAAACTTGGTTAAGTTGCTTTAAGTCTTTGTTCGACCGACAAAAAATGTATTACAATTTTCTTACGGAACAAAACTGGAATACTGACAACTCGCACATTGTCATGGTTGAAATAAAATTTAATGAAAATAAATCGACTTCGTTTATACAAGCTAAAAGAGAAGGTGAAGATGCTGAGAGCAGATAACAATACAGCTGAGAGAATATTAAGTTAATGCAGTACATCCATCTTAATCTGACTCAAACACTGTTGACAAAGATCATTTTCATTACGTTATGTACAAAAACAGACAGGTTTATAATGTTTCGATTGAAAAGGACAGACTTTCAAAAGGAAATATCTAGACTAATAATTTAAAGCTGAGGAGTTGGTTTGTTTGCTTGAATGCGCTAACTTGCCGTGGGAGAGCCATGCTTCGGCACGAATGGGCCGGCTCGACCGGAGTGATACCACGGCGTCACAGAAAACCGGTGTTAAGCAATTCTTTCGTTGCCTTTCACTGAGTGAGTGAGGATACCGGAGCCCAAATCCTCCCTCCCGCTGACTCCAGCGGGAAGGACTCCAAGGTCAGCAACGCACTTGTGACTTTTGAGTTGCAGGTTCCATGGGCGGCGGTAGTTGTTTACCATCAGGTGACCCGTTGGCTCGTTTGCCCCCTTATGCCATAAAAAAAAATCTCAGGCACTACTGGTTCGAGTTAAAAAAAAGCGTGAGGGGTCTGTGGACCCTGATTCGGAACGTAGTTCCTTTCGCCTTTTAGTAGACGTTTGCATGTATATGAAATATGAAAAAGATGCACGTCGACACGCCACCTTTTTTTTTTTTTTTTTTTTTTTTTTCGTGCGGAAATCCCCTCTACTACTAGCCGGGAACTAATAGCCGGGGAACCAGGTATACCCTAGAAAGGAAGTCCCTGGTGCCCCGACATACCTCGGGTCATCTACAGACGAGTAGACGACCCCCCCACGTCGACACGCCACCTAAAGCGTCGTGAAAAAGTTGATTTTTCGGTTTTCAGTCTCGCTCCCATGAGCGTAGAGCGTGTAACGTATGATAAGTAACTTCGTTCCAAAAACCTTCCATGTGATAATTGACATTTACAACAAAATTATTTCTGGCTAGGGCTGTAATAAGTCAAAATAATTTAGATTTGAACAATATTATTTACTGTACACCACTACTGTACACAATTAAAAGAAATCTTACATTATAAAATAAATAAAATAATCAGGCGGTCTTAGCGCGAATTGCGAACTCTAAAAGTAAAACTTAAATGTAGAATAACAGAAGTATTTATCAAAATAGAATAGATAATAGCGTGCTTACTGATAACACAAACAAATATTTATATACATATACAATTTAGATCATTTAACTTAAAACCCATACATAGATAAACTGTATAGAATATGTATAGAACCGCAGCCATTCTCTACTACCAAGAAATGTTACGTACTCGTATGTTATGTAATTTATGTTACAACGCAGTAAACAAAATATTATCATTCCTATTACTTTTAAAAGATTTTTAAATAATAATGAAAGATAAAAATATTTTTAAGAAGGTTAACCGAGTGGGTACACATTGCAAAGTATAGCAATACCAGGCAGGTCAGTTAATGGATGGGTGAAGATTCTTAACACATTGAGACCCCTCCTTACATTGAGAGACCACAAAACCAGTAAGTGGCTGAAACATTTTTGTTGCTCTGTAGCAAGGTTACGGATATCACTAAACTGTGATCAGACTCAGATGAGAGTGAGCGGGTTATGTGGCACACAAGAACAATCCTTGAAGCAAGCGGCCAGGAAGACGCCAAGGATGATGATCACAAGAGGACAGCAGGAAAGAAGTGGCTCCAAATCGCTCAAGATCGCAATGAGTGGCATATATTGAAGGAGTCCTCTACAAACGAAGGGTCAAAACAGGCTAAAGAGAGAGAGACAGCATTTTATAAACCGTTAACTGTTCTACCCTCAGTTGGACCTTAAAACATACTTGAATAATCCATCTCTCTGCTGAGATTAAGAGTAATTTAATGGACAACAGAGCTTACTTGGTTGAGATATTTATTGGTTTTAAAGAGCAAATTTCGATTAGTGTCTTGTCTGGTTTAGGGCGCAATTTATAAACAAGATTTAGTGTTATTCAATGGTTAACAGAATTGAGTTGAGACTTTTCAAATGTCGTTAATAAATAACTATAGTGCAATTAAATGAAAAACATGCTTATGATTCGAATTATAAAATAAAAAGAGTTCTACTATCCATCACCTGGTCATTGTTATCCAACAATCTTCTAAATTCGTATTTTTTTTCTTTTTACGGTATAGGAGAGCAACCGAAACGACAGTACTGACTACGAACTGCCACCGGCCATGGATACCTTCAAAGTCAAAGTTTGGTTCTATGATCAAATTTATAATCAAGATGTCAAATTTAAATAAATTTATTGTCATCCAAACTACAGGTTTCCATTTGGAAACGAAAATTGTTAATAGTTTTAATTGAAGTTCAAAAATTTGTTTACATATTTATATACAATATATTATATATATATCTATGACATATAGGCATTATTATATATACACAGTTAAATAGTTAAATTGATAATTAGTTGCTTTCATAAGGTTTTTTTTTTATCTAGAGCAACGACAACAAGAATTTACTTCTAACAAAGGCATTTACTATAGTTATGATGGTTAGCTAGATCTATTTTCATATATGTTTTAGTTTTTAAGAAATAAATCATCAACAGCCTTTAATAGTCCACTGCTGGACATATGCCTCTCCTTAGAAAGGAGGTTTTGGCCTACTATACCACGCTGGCCAGACGGGTTGGTATAGGGTTTGTGTCAAGTTTGCCTTCTCTCCCCTCGTTCCATTTTGGCTTTTAAGTCAAATCTTGACTTTGATGGTTAACTTTCAGATCCAGAAATGTTCTAAAACTTTTTCAGTACTTGTTATGAGTGAAGATGAAAGTTAACAATCAAATTTATATTAAAACATTTGATGGAAGTAAAAATAGACACAAATATTTACCTAAGCATTCAAAGAACTTAGATATCACTATACAATAGACTAAGAGTAGTGACGGTGAAAAATATAAAGGAATGCCATTGGCTCCTTTGATTCTTATCTCGAACAACTCGATACAGGGTCTGCAAATATTGTAGCGGATTAAATATTATATGTTACCTAAGCATCAGAGCAAATAGTTGAAATATAAAGAGACGCAATCCATTGTAGTTAATTATTTTATATATTAGTCTTACTGCTAATACTTTACCGACAACACAGTTCAGGACAAACGAAAATGAGTGTTCAAGTTGATTTAAAAGGTGAAATGACTCCTGTTGTAGTAAGCAAAGAACTAGATGAAGATGATGAAAACAACGAATCAAGTGATGAATCAATGCCACTTAAAGTACCAACAGAAACAAATGAAACACATATACTAAAACCAGAAGTTAAAAAAAAGTTGACTCTTAGAGAAAGATTAAAAGAAATAAAAGCCAATACAACAGTTGAACCAATAATGGCTTGCTACGTCATGCCCAGTGTTCTTGCGTCTTTAGCAGTCCAAAATTTAAATTTAGAAAAAGCCTGTAGGGTTAATTTGAATTTTACTGATGAAGTTTGTACTGCATTAAGTTTGAGACAAACAGAAAATTATACCCTCTATGAGGACGAGGTTCAAAGACTGATTGCCAGAGTCCAAGCTTGGAAGAACATTGTTCAGACTGCTATTCCTGTTTACTAATTCTTTTTGTTGGAGCTTGGAGTGATAGAACTGGAAAAAGGAAAGCATGTATTTTGATGCCAATTGTGGGTGAATTTCTTTCATGTATTGGTTTCATAATAAATACTTATTATTTCTATGAGTTGCCTGTTGAAGTTGCGGCACTAAGTGAGTCCATATTCCCTGCTCTTACTGGAGGATGGTTTACGAATTTTATTGGAGTGTTCAGTTATATCGGCGACATCACGACCACAGAAAATAGAACTTACCGGGTTGGGATGGTGAATATGTTCATGTCGTTGGGTTATCCTATTGGAAGTGCTTTAAGCGGTATAATACTGTCATGGCTGGGCTATTATGGAGTATTTCTGATATCAGCTTCTTTGTATCTCTTCAGTTTATTGTATGGTTATTATTATTTAGAGGATCCAAAGAAAAAGTCAGAAGAAAAAGAAGTAAGTTCAAATATGTTTTAATATACTATTATGTCAAAGTATTTAATTATAGGGTAATTTCATACCAACTAATATAGTTATTTTTAGCTATTTTCATTGAAATAGTTGTACTTTAAAATTGATAGATTAGCACAGATAAAGTTTTTATTGGTTGTTGTGAGTATTTAGTAAGTTTTGTGTTTGAACATTTCGGAAACTTTTATTCTTAGAAGGTGAGTCAGTTTAACTCTAACATTATTTAAAATTTACTAATGAGCTATCTGAGTGAAATTAATTTAAATCTAAGAGCCATTAATTTTATTCATTAAAAGTGTGTTAGATAGTTACATAATAAATAAACAGGTGGTCTAAAAAGTTTCCGAATCGACACGACGATGGCAACACTCGTGAATTAAAGCTAGTGAATTTCATTGTTCATCTGTTACTGTGTACAGTTACTCGCCAAAGTTTCAGCCGTTTTGAACGCGCAGTTGTTATGTAACAGTCGTTGGAGTGAGTTGATGTGAGTGTTTTTATGAAAATGGACAAAATCGAGTATCGAGCTGTCATTAAATTTTTGTTTTGGAAAGGCAATACGCCTACGCAAATCAAAGATAAGTTGGATTCTGTGTATGGAGACTCTGCACCATCATATACCACAGTGAAATTTTGGGCAGCTGAATTTAAACGTGGCCATAAGACCTCGGGAGACGATGAACGTTCGGGACGTCTAAAAACTGCAGCTACCAACGAAAACGTCGCCAAAGTTTACCAAATGGTGCTAGACGACCGCCGCATTAAAGTGAGAGAGATAGCAGAGGTTATGAAAATGTCAAAGGAACGTGTTTGTCACATATTAAATCAACATTTAGACATGAGAAAGCTGTCCGCACGTTTGGTGCCGCGTTTGCTCACGTTAGACCACAAACGTGTCCGAATGAACATTTCCAACGCTCTGTTGGCGCAGTTTAGGCTCAATAATCCGTCCGTTTTGGCGACGATTAACTGCTGTAGATGAAACTTGGATACATCATTATACGCCCGAAACAAAAATAAAGTCCAAACAGTGGACTGCAAAGAGGATCCGACTCAAAAAAAGGCAAAAACTGTTTTTTCCACTGAGAAAGTGATAGCGACTGTTTTTGGGATAGTCATAGAGTTATTTTAATCGATTATCTCCAAAAAGGAAAAACCATTACAGGATTATACTACGCATCATTACTTGACAAGCTGAAGGCAGAACTTGCGGAAAAACGGCTACATTTGCAGAAAGAGAAAATCCTGTTTCACCAAGACAACGCACCGTCTCACACCTTAGCGGTTGGCGAAAATCCACGAATTACGGTTTGCACTGCTTGACCATCCACCTTACTCACTAGATCTAGCACCAAGCGAATTGCGTTCGAAGGTCAGAGATTTTCATCAAATGAAGAGGCAATCACCTTCGTGAACTATTATTTTGCAGAGAAAAAAGCCGAGTACTATTTGGTAGCCGGGTTTCAGAGATGGGAGCATCACTGGGAGATTTGTTTAGAATTACAAGGAGACTATGTTGAAAAATAAAAATACAAAGTTGCAACTACTAGTTGTAACAAAGTCTTTGTTAGGTCGAAAAATTTTTAGACCACCCTCGTATATTAAAATGCTACCAAATTTAATGACAAAAAGGAAATCAAAATTACTAAAACACAAAGCAACATATTAAATTAACTGGATAATGACAGAATTAAGTGATAATGACATAAAAAGGTTATAAGGATACATAAAACCTACATTGCTCCATGTTAAAAATATTCAATATTTACACTTATGGCTTAATTGAAATTATATGGGCGATTTTGTCGCAATGTCATTAATAAACTTTAATATTACTTTTGATATGTATACAAGTTGCGAACATTTGACAATGATCCTTATGTACCTACCAATAGAGTAAGTTTCTTCAAATGAATATTTTTCTTTTTTTTTGGTTGCAAACTCTGGTTGTCTGTCATCCATAATTGTTACTTTGCAGTTTCAACAAACGGAGCCTAGTAAAGGATTTTTTCGTGAATTTTTTGACTTGGCTTTGGTAAAAGAAACCTTCAAGGTGGCGTTTAGAAAAGGCAAAGGCAACAGGAGACTCAGGGTTTCATTATTATTATGTTGTGTATTTGTGATCTTTGGACCTGCAAACGGTAAGTAAAAATATGGTAACTTTTTTTGTTTCTTTTTTGGATGTAAAATTAATGAACCTACACGACTCTAAAAGAGATCTGCTACTTTGAATGGGATATTGTACAAATATTAGACTTAAGTCAGTTTCTATGTTAGTGTAAAATAGCAAAAATTTTGTGAAAGCTTTGAAGAGTTTTAATGGCTCGTTAGGAGTAATACTAAGGTCTCACAGAAAACCGGTGTTAAGCAGAGGCCCAAATGTAAGTTTATTTTACTTCCACTTGATCGTCACGGTGACCGCGTTCGGCGTTGTGATTGGTCCGATCTCCACCAATCGCAACGTCAAACGCTCTCGCCGTCCAGTGCGAGTCGATGTGAAATAAACTCACACTAGGGCCTCACTCCTTTCGTTGCATTTCACTGAGTGAGTGAGGTTGCCGGAGGCCCCCTTGACACTGAGAGTGGTTATAGGGAGCACTTAATGGGCGGAAACGCACTTATGACTCTTGGGTTGTGGGTGTCCATGAGTGGCAATGGTCACTTACCATCAAGTGATCCGTCTGTTCTTTTGCCTCATGTGCAGAAAAAACTAAATGGTCATGCAAAAATTTGAATGGCTATTTGTAACTCCATCATGCCAGAACGGCTAATAAAGCCAGATAGATGATATCCTGAAAAAGCACAGAGGCATAATAATAATGGCTTTTTGAACGATTATAAGTATATCCACGCTAAATTTATCAAGTAAATATTATCATTATTTCCAAACGGGAAAAAGGCTCGGAGGAAGAGGAAAATGCTATATTTCATTAATTCGGATCAGCGGTAGCCGTGCAGCGGTAGCGGTAGACAAAGTTACTTTCACATTAAAATATTAGTAGGCAGTTTTTAATTCTCTAAATAGTCATTTACTTGAATTGCAATAATATACTTTCATGAACGTATTTCATATAAGTATTTAAAATATTAGTTAGCCGTGCCTAATTTAAATACAACCACCGCCACAGAATTAAAAATAGTTATTTCGTCCAATAAACAGATTGTCAGTCGATAGACTTGTCAGAATCCAACAAGTGTTAGAATAGTTGAGATAAAAAGGACGTGTAAACATAGAAACAGGCTGTCAGATAATATCGACTTTTAAATTTTATGGTACATAATAGATCGTTCACAACAACTTTTTATTGGAAAGGAAAATTACTACACATTTTTATTTTATCTTTTCATTTCTTTTTTTTTAAGCTATTTGCACATTCGTTACTTAATAATAATAATAACTTCACACGGCCGTGTGATTCCAAACTCGGCAGAGTCTGTACTATGGTAACCTGACTTCTAATATATGTACTACGAGTATGTAATACGTACTACGAGTACTATGTATATCAGAAACTCGCGCACATGCCCCAATAACTATATATTTATTTACTATTATCCAACTTGTATTACAAAGAGTATCATCTAACACACCCTTCGCATGGGTAGCTTAGCATATTACAGTTTATGTTTTTTCTATCGTAGGGTCGCATCAGTTTGTTGCGTCAAATATGTGGATAAGATATAAAGTTAACATATGTCTACACCACTTGAAGCATTTTAATTGCTGAAAACTTTCAGGCGGCTAGACTTTTGCCGACAATTCAACAATCATCGTTATATTTCAACCACTTTACCCCAAATTCTTAACAAATTATACATCTATAGCTTCCTCATAATGTAAACCGAATTAAAGTTCGTTCAGTGGTTTGAGTTTATCGCAAAGAAACAGATAGACATTCGCTGCGGGCAACTTTGTTTATAGACTTGGTGGACTTTAATAAACAACGACTATAAAACATGTTTAGTCTTTTTTCATTTGACTGTACTATTAATACCATTAAATATTATGATAATGTTTGTACCTTCATGTCTCTCTATTTTCAAAATGAATCATTTTTGTTTTATGCAATTTAAAGAGTTCCGTTCAACAGAATGTGACTGTACGTAGCTATGGAAACAAATACTGCATAATTATGAATCAATATTAACTATTATAAAATAGTTTTAAAAACCTTTCGTTTTGTCATTGACTTGTCTTGCCTTGCCTTGACTTGAATACGAAGTGTCACTACTCTTATTCATCCCATGGGTGTCGTAAGAGCCGACTTAGGACCAAACTACGTAGGGCAACCACAATGCAAAGAGTAGAAAAACTTGAAACAAACCGTCTACCAACCTGTCTATAGTAGGCCGAAACCCACTTTCTAAGTAGAGTAGAGTAGGCCTATGTCCAGCAGTGTACCATTAAAGGCTGTTGATGATGACATGGACATGTTTGCCTACCGAACTCCGTCAAGAAAAGTTTTCAAAAAAACGGCGGTAGTCAATTACATAATTACTAATCTACACGTACGGGTAACGTAACGTAACGTAACAAAAAGTACAGCTGCCTGGATTGCGCCACTTTTAATATCATATCTTATTTAATATTAAGAGCTATTGACGTAAATACAATATTTGCTTAATACTCACATGATAACAACATATAATATTTATCTTCAAGCATTATTACTTTATTAGGTAACTTAATAAATTCATCAAAGACATTGGAAACAATAACTTCTAAAAATTTAATATTTTCGAAGAGAATGCTTCATTTTTTCTACCGTCTAATTTGAATAATTCTCCATAATAAAACGAAATTTTAAAGCGTTCCGGGGTACAACTGAAGAATGAGGACATTAAAAAAGCCAGGCGTATTTATTATGACATACTAGTCGTACCGCAGATTGGCTTTTGTTATTCCAAAACAAAAAGTTTACAAAATATAAATTGGCCCAAAAAACATTCTTATAACGTCTATAGAAATTGAAGTTTTTTAAAGTTGTCACATATATATAAACCTTTAGACCTGTTTAATTACCATGCAGCTCATCACAAAGATATTAAAGATTAATCCCTAAAAAATTTCAAAGAAATCTATAGATAATAAGAAGATAATAAGAGATAATTTTAATTATTGTGGGCCTTTAATTATTGTCAATCACTGATGTGTTTTCAAAATTGATTTCAGCGGTTGTGATGTCGAGATAAGTAAATAAATTTAATCTCTCTTACTTAATGGGACGAATAATTATAATTGTTTATAAATTTACAATTTCATCATTATCATCAGCCTATCGCAGTCCACTGCTGGACATAGGCCTCTCCCATTGTACGCTACCGAGATCGATTTTCGGCTTCTCGCATTCAGCTCCTGCCAGCCATCTTGCGCAGATCGTCACTCCTCCCTGGCCTGTGGGCGTCCTACACTACGTTTGCCCCGACGTGGTCTCCACTTAAGAACTCGTTTACCACAACGGTTGTCGGTTCTGCGGCTAATATGGCCCACTGCCACTTCCACTTGCTAATCCGGTTGGCTATGTCGATGACTTTGGTTCTCTGCCGGATCACATCATTCCTGAAACTAACTGGTCTAAGAATTTCAACTAACTGACAAATGAATACTTATTTTTTTTATTAAGTTCTTAATAATCCGTATAAAACCGTTTTAAATATTACTTAAAAAATGACATTGACTTTTACTTTCAAAGAACTAGCGTTGAAAAAATTCTTACAGACTATCGTTGTCTACAAATGTGACATATTTATAAACATGCTACTTACGCGCCTTTCTTTCTAATGCTTTCCTTATATGCGTCACAAGGACTCTACTAGTCTAATGTAATTTCTTGCATTCACGCCATTTTCGAATACCTGCTCCTCGCAATTTTATTTAAAGTCCAATTATATTATTAAAACAAAACCTCATTCTCCAAGTGTTGTAAATTAATTCTATGTATGTATGGTTACTTATGTATGCGTGTTGGTATATTGTATATATCTCTGGACTTCAATTATGTTAAATTTAATATTTTATTTTGCATCTACCTCATCACATTTCTACATCACCCGAAGGTTGACTGGAAGAGAATGCCTCATTTCAGTAAGGTCGCCTTTGTACAACATGTGCATTAGGTTTTAAATAAATAAGTAAATTCTATATTAATTACTATATTAATTCACGGCTTACCTCGTGCTATTATCGATTTTATTAATCAATTATTGTTTTTGAAAAAAGTAACCTAAGTGCTATTTAGCTCTGTGCCAAATTTCATCCTGATCCGTTTAGCTTGCTTTTGGACACCTGCAACTTAATACTTATAAATAGTCTGCCTACCAATGCGTTCTCCTCGCGCCCCAGAACTAGATGGATGGGCGGAGAGCGCTTGAGCCTGCTGTCCTGTCCACTCTCTCAGTGAATAGCATCAATTGTTTAACACCGGCTTTGTGTGAGGCCATGGCAATACTTTATTTGAACCAGTCCATACGTCAACGAACAATTAAGTAACAATCATCCATACATATATCCAAAAAAACTTTGCGTTTGTAATAATAATATTTCGGGCACCTAACACACAACGCTATCTAGTTTCAAACTAAGCAGAGCTTGTACTATGAAAGCTAGATTATCGGATAGAATACTCATATACTATTTTTTGTAAATACATACACACATACTATACATAGAAAACAGCCAAACTTCGAAACGTTGATGTGCAGATCATACAAACACTTGGTCCGACCCGGGGTCGAACCCGAGGCAGTAATAGTAATAAGATTTTTGTAACACATTCTAAATGTTTATTTATATTTCAGGTGAATTCACGGTTCTTTATTTGTTCACGAGGTACAGATTCAATTGGGATGAAGTCCAATTCAGTATTTGGTCTACATATTCCATCCTTACCAACTTAATAGGTGAGTTCTAAATAAATTAACAATGGCAAATAGTTGTACGCTTTGAGACTTTATATTAAAACAGTAGATAAACATTGGAACTTCAATATAAAATAATCATTATCATCCTCTCAGATGAAATACGTCCACTGCTGGACATAAACCTCACCAACCTCAACAAGCGGTCCTGGTTCTGTCTCATTCAACGGCTTCATAATTTATATAAAATAATTAAAATAAAATATTTTGTATCTAGATTTAAAGTCGTAGAAGTCATGACTTCTATGACTCTAAATCTAGATACGGATATATCAGCCCTACCCATGGAACGGAATGCAATATCTTGATAGGCTGATAAATAGGGAGAAGCCACTAGCTTTTCTTGAGATACAACCTAGTTAGGTGCGGTGTAGTGACGGATTAAGAATACGGAATGTCACTACCCCAATTCATCCCGTGGGTGTCGTAAGAGCCGACTAAGGGCGCAAAACAACGCAGGACACAAGCGACCAAAAAGAAGGAAAAACTTGACACAAACCCTATACCAACCCGTCTGGCCAGCGTGGTATAATAGGCCAAAACCTCCTTTCTAAGGAGAGGTATATGTCCAGCAGTGGACTATTAAAGGCTGTTAATGTGATGTGATGTAGGTGCGGTGTCGATCTGGGGATTGACCTAAAATCACATGACCTGGGTTCTCCCTAAAGCAGGGTGCCTAAGGCTGGCCGTCGAGGTGGTTTTTAGTGGAAACACCACATACTCCTGGCTCCTATATCCTCGGAGATCTGAAGGGATTTTCCACCCCGTAACCAACAAAAAAAATCATAGAATAACTAAAGCCTTTTTAAATAATTTTTGGTGTACAACGTTCTTTTTGCTTGAGTTGTTTATTTTTTTTCTAAAATATTATTTTTCAAATACATACAAATATAAAGCTTAGGGTCAAGTGTATCCCGCCCCACCTAACTAAGTTATCGGCTTAAAAAAAAACAATTCATGATGGACGATGAATGTATTCAACTACTTTAAAAGGTAAAGTATCACGCCTCATTTAGTTCTAAATTTAAAAGGAATTATTGATTAATTTAGAAATTGTATCAACTTTATAAGAATGACATAATCCAAGTTTATACGGGGCTGAATGCTACTATTTCTTCTCCAGAAGCCTACCCCACTGAGCTACTACTTCGCTTTTCTCTAACAAATTATTATTCCAGGTACCTACTTCTCAATAATACTGTTTACTAACTACTTGAAGTTGGACGATACACTTCTCTGCATTATATCAATGGGTAGCAAGATCACTGCCTCTTTCGCCTACGCCTTCGCTAGAAACAACTTGGAAATTTATTTGGGTAAGAAACTTTAGTGCGTCATTTTCAGAGGTCGTTATTTTACTATAAGCTCTTGATATACAATATAATACATAGTCAAATGTGATGCATTACAAAAAACTAGTTTTTGATATATTACCAAAAATTGTTTTTTTTTATGCTATTACGAGCAGACGGGTCACCTGATGGAAAGTAACCATCGCTGCCTATGAACGACTGCAACTCAGGAGTCATAAATGCGTTGCCGGCCTTTTAGGAAGGAGTACGCTCTTTTCTCGAAGGTTTGATGGTCGTATCGGTCCAAAAATACCGCAGCCGATAACCCGTTCCACAGATTGGTTGTGCTTCGCAAAAAGTGCCTCGAAAAGCGCACAGTAGTGGAGGGCCAACTATCCAGGTAATGATGTTGAAAGTTATGAATACTTTTGTTAGAAGGCTGCCCGACATTAGTTAGTCTTATCTTCTAGAGGTTATATTCTCCCAATCCATATAATGTATAGGCAATACACTACACTAGCGTTTGCCCGCGTCTCCGACTGTGTGCATGTCGATTATCGCGGTAAAAAGTAGTCTAAGTTACTGGCGATAACGTAGCTTTAGAATTGTGAAAGAATTTTTAAAATTGGTTTAGTGGTTTAGGCTTTAAAGCATGACAAACAAACTCACATTCATATTTACAATATAAGTATGGATGGTATTTTAAATATTATCAAGTCCATTATTGTACTACATATTTATATCTACATATATCATGTACACACATATTTGTGATGTATATCACAGTTTTTGATATTTCAATGGAATAGATGGTACAATAATAAATTAATCAATCGATGACATCAAGGGTAATTTACAAAAGCGTTTTTTTATCTCGTGAACAACTTTTAACCACTGCGATTTTATCTTTTTCTTTTCTTTTTTTTTTTTTTAAAGAGACAACTCCTGCACTAGGAATAAATCTTTACAAACATACATGAAACGGACACAAAGTACACCCAGACTCATAACAACAATTTGTGGATCACGCAAAGTGTTGTCCCATGTGGGGTTTGAACCCACAACACTCGGCGTTATAGGAAGCGGCGTGGCGACCCCTTAAACCACTACGCCATCTGTGCAGTCAGATTAATTCACCAGAAAATTCATTCGAAATTCAGTTCCAATCTGCTGTGTTGCAGTTGTATTTATAAATACAATAACTAAAACATTTTCGATCGGAATAAACTAATTCTAACTATTGAAAGTCGGAACTATTACTTCTGTTTATATAGTTATTGCATACAGCCATATTCTCGTACATTACTTTGCTAAGCTCTCAGTCGTAAACACAGAGCCTTCCTCTCAAAACTTGAAGTGTAGTTACAAGTTATTGCTTTTAGGTTTATGTTTAATGAATTAATTCTTAGTTATGGCTCTTTGAACGGTTCATGGGTTAAATTTTAATTGCTTTCTGTACTTAAACAAATTTGTTACGATCAAACTTTTTCTATACTTGGAGAAAATAAAACAGTCGCTAAACCCACCATCATCAGCCTATCGCAGTCTACTGCTGGACATAGGCCTATCTCATTATACGCCACTTAGATCGATTTTTGGCTTCTCGCATCCACCTCCAGCCATCTTACGAAGATTGTCACCCATAAGTTCTATGTTTGAGTATTTTATAGATATAATGTAATAAAAAAACCGTGCACAATGCTGTATAAATATGCACCTTTGTTTTATTTCTTAGTATTTCTTTAATGAAAGAGATGCATAGTTATGTAATATAGTTAGCAAAATTTTAAACAATAATTTTCACTAAAACTTTCCACTAAAAACCACCAACCCGGTCTCAGGCGACCTACTCCGGGAAGGAACACCTCAATGTGATTTCAAGGTCCTCCTTGAATCGAAGCAAGCATAACCAGGCCCTATCCCGGGGAAGCAGCGAGCTCCCACGTTAAACTCGTGGTTGACGAAAAGTTTTCAACGCTCGTGGTTGGCCCTCTTCCGATCCCGTTCAGTGTTCTCTTTCTGGAGTATTACAGCTTCACAGAAGAAGATAACTGCCCCTAGCCCTCCCTACTCGCCAGCATGGTAGTATAACTCGTCTCGTCTCGTCGACAAATCTCGTCTTATTCGATCGACCAGGATTTTCCATACAGACGTCGGGCAGTTCTCCAGCGTGTGCTGGGCTCGGTCCCACTCGGCTATGTAGTACTGACATTGTACCGTCTCCTCGCATCCAAATCGATTCAGGTACTCACCGAAACAACCATGTCCAGTACCAGCGTTAATGGGGTGGGTGTAGCTACCTCCCCTCCTACCATCTACTTGGAGGTCAGGTGTAAACGCTCTTGCTAGTCCTCTATTACTTCCTTTTAAACTTTTGCAGACCATGAAATTTACTTATAGTCCATTAATAAGTTCATGCATTAGCAAGACAAAACCCAGAATGAAGTGAATGAGATTTTGTAATGCACAGTAATAAAATAATCTGTCTCATTTGATAATTGATTGCACGGATGGCTTAGTGGCATGAGCGGTCGCCACGCTGCTTCCTACTGCACTGAGTATTGTGGGTTCGATTAGCACATGTGACACCTTCTTGTTTGTAAAATTGTTGTTCTGCGTCTGGGTTTTATTTGTGTCCGTTTCAGGTATGTTTGTAAAGTCCCCCGCGACACAGGATTTATATTCCTAATGCGGAAGTTGTCTTTTAAAAAAAAGAAAGAAAAGATTATGGTATCCTAAAAATAATGTTGTTTTGCCAAATGCGTATCTATTTTAACCTTATGTAACAAAATTACAAGGTTCTACATCAAGTAAGCATAACTTTAGGTAATCCATTTTCCAAATTGACTTTGATATAAATCCCCGAGTCTTAGACAGTTGATAGATGTCTACAACATAATTTAACTAACATTGTATATGCATATTTGTTCTGCTAAAGTAATCACATTTGTGTAATCTATTTTGCGTCGTTTTATAAATGATAACGGTAGTCAGTCTGTTATATCAAGGGTCATAAAATACTGAGCCTTTGTTTTTAACGCAAAAATCATGTATAAATTAACAATCTGCCTCGGCGGTGCAGTGGTGCAGATTGTTTTGTTAGCAATTAGAGGGAAAGCTAAAGTTTTATGTACCGTACTGAGGTTCTTATTTTCTAGAGAAACCTTTTGCAGTTATAGGAACAGGGTTAATGTCACCAATAGAACTTTATGCGGCTCTTTTTACATAAACATTAAACTCTCTCTTAATTTCATTAAAAAAATTAAAATTGTTTGACTTCGTCTCTTGTGTAGACTAAAGTCATAGATCAACACACACAATAGCAACAGTCTCTGTTTTGTCAAATATTTAGCAAAATAATTATCTATTACATGCCTTGGCCGATCTACAACCCGTTTTCAAGGGGTTGATCCTTTTGCAAAAGGGCAAACCAACAAAATTAATTTCAAAATGTTAGATCGCAACTAAACGCGAAATTATCCTTAAATTGGAAAGGTGACATTCACGATAACATTGGTGTGGGTGTTACTTAAACAACTTGTTATCTCATCTGTATAGTACTGTATAAATAATACACTGGATATCTAAACAAACAAAAGGTTGTTAGTAGTGAATTAATGCACTGCTTCTAGTAAAAGCCTAGTATATTTATATTTGTTTTGTATTTGTTCCACATGCCTATATTTAGTTCATACACCTACCATTCGGGACAAGTACAAGATATAACTATTACAAAATTTAGTACTTGCTAGAACACTCTTCCTGATAACTTAGACTGATCTTTTCCTCAATTTTAACTCAACTCTCAAATCTGAACTAAAAATTGCAAGAGTTTTTAAACGCAGCATTCTCAATCACGAAAGCGTCTGGGCAATGTAATAAAAATATTTTTGTACATTATGTGATCAGTATCTTTAGTCGAATCACACCAATAACATGGATAAGAGCATTTTTGTGTAATCCTTAAAATGACTGTATCTAACAATGCCGTGGCTAAACAATCAAAAAGTATTTAACCCTAGACTACAATCCTGCCCCGCAAGTGATACGATAAGTGTATCTTAGAGACCACGATGAAGGCTTCGATAAAAACATACCCAACGGCGGGTACTGACGAGTAATTTTGTTAGGGGTCTATATCGTAGCCCAAAAGTTTACTTAAATAAATTGTAACCCAGGCCGGCAACGGATAGTGGCTCTTCATTTCTGCGAAGTAGGATAGCTTTAAATATATGTTTATAAAATTGTTTGAATTTATATTTATTTTTATTTTACAACTTTTCCTCAGCCTGCTTACTGGAGACTTTGAATGGAACCTCCTTTATCGCAATGCGGTCTATCGCAACTAAATTAGTTGACGGTGAAGAATTTGGTAAGTTTTATTTATAATTGCTTGACTTATTTTTTTAATGACTCCACAAATCTAGTTGTAGACCTCAGAATAAAAAAAACGTAATATTAGCCTATAAGTATTACTAAACATGATAAACACACCGTCAAAACAAAAATATAATTTTGGTTTTTAATAAAAATAAAGTTTCTTTTTTAATAAAGTATTAAATAATTTTAATACTTTATTCAACGAACAAGATTTGTACAATATCTTAAATAAAAGGCGATTAGGGGCTTTTCTAATGTCAAGAGGAATACTACTATTTACGTATATAATTCCTGAGGGAAATTGATCAAATTAAGAAAAAGAATAGGACACACGCGAATGTATGAGCGAGGATATCGAGGATGTAAGGAAAGTAGGTGAATTGACAATAGAACAAAAAAGATACTGAAGGTACGCAGCTGATGTAGTTAACTATCATTATTATCATCATCATCCATAGTCTATCAATAGTAGTTTAATAGTCCACGGCTGGACAGAGGCCTCTCCTAAGAAAGAAGGAGTAACTAATAGTAACTAAACATGAGCTAATTCAACTTAGAAACAAAGATTAAAATGGATCGATGTAAGTTATTCAAAAGTTGTAGGAGTTCATATTTATTAAAAAGATCATCAGATAATAATAACGTCCCGTAAGACATACTGGGGATATATTTTTTTTTCACTTATGTCGCTTTTATCCCAAATGGAAGAAATAAATATACATATATAAAGCTATAAGCCTTCAGTACACATGTAACTCTCTAGCTGAGACTATCAATTTGAATTTGCTAGCTAAGATGGGATCAATAAATTAGCCCAGATTGACAGAGCAATTTTCCATAGTGAATAGTGCAAATGAGTTTTGCAGTAAGGAATAATACACATTTTTTTCCCATTCCCTTAGTTCTGTTTAAATACCAATAATAAATTTGCTGAAATATGGCGTTTAATTGGTCTAACAATTAATTTATGTTTACACATCTTTGAATTGATTTTAACTAGATCGGTTTTATTGATAGCTGCCCTGAAATGGTGTGCAAATATCGTTTTCTCAAATTAGCTAGGTCACAGGTTACGTTTGACATGTTTCTTTATTATATTTCTCTTTGATTAGTAAATTTCAAAGTCCACTTCTAAGTGTCGCTTTGAAATGAAACTTTGCATAAATACATACTGCATCCAAAATGACTGGTCGGGGTACGAAGTACCTGTACCAGTCATTTTGGATGCAGGTTTTAATGAACTAGAGAAATTGATCTAGTTATAACGAAATGAAAATCCGAACTCGTGTAGCTACTAGTAAAATCCTTGATTTTGAACTGATACGATTCGTTATATTGAGTCCAAATGTCTGATGATGAAACCAGAATTGATGGATAGAAGAACTCGTTTTTTTCTTTTTAATTCGGTTCGCCACTGAAGCGTGTATTTTTTGTCATTCTTTTTATTTTTTTCCAGGTAAAGTAAACTCCCTGTTTGGCCTAGCAGAAGCCATGACACCATTGGTGTATGGACCTTTATACTCCACAGTATACGACGCTACGTTGAAGATTCTACCTGGAGCAGTGTTCCTCATGGGCTCCATGTTAATTTTACCTGCTGTTGCAATATTAACGTATGTATAATATGATAATAACTTATACAGACAGGCAAACTAATACCAATAGAAAAGAAGGCAACCAAGTTATCTTTGACATTTGATATGTTTACAGTTCATGAACTATGACAGTTGAAACTCGATTAACGGCAATTTTCTGTAGGAAAATATGACCCGAGTAATGGGGGTTAAGTCAGCAAAAATCTGCTATGATTCTTTTTTTTTTAATGGATAGAATGTTAGCGATTGTCGATTCTTACTATCACGCATGTCCTCAGCGTTGCCACTTGCGAGATACTTAACCTTTGCATGCAATGAAGGTAATAATAATGAATATACAGAAGACGTAATAGCTATTAACCTGTCAACGTCCGAAGTTAATTTTTAGGTTAAAAAGCTATTAGTACAATTAAGTTGAAGTTAACTCGATGACCATATGATCTCATTTTTAGAAGTTTGGTGATCAAAAAATAAAATATGATGAAAATTATGTTCTTTATAGAGGTATCTAGTTCACGGTTTTTTTTTTGCAGCAGTACTAGTAATTTAAGTATATAACAAGATGGATTTAAAAAAACCAAAATTTTTGACATTAAGGTTAATAAATCATTGTCATATAGATAGATAGAAAACTCTTTATTTGTACACCGTTTTACAAGTAGTATGGTTGGTACATAGAAATGTCAGATATACAATGTACAAAGGGTGGCCTTATTGCTAAGAGCAATCTCTTCCAGGCAACCTTAGTATGGATCAAAATGTTTCGGAGAGACAGTAGTAGTTGACGGTGCAACGAGTTTCTAAGGTTAACTGCTAACGAATATTAAAAAGATAATAATTAGATATATATAATACCTAATATATAATATGCGGTATTAAATCCATGGCTTTATTTATTTATTTAGACAACCAGAACACAGAAGACAACCTGTACCTGCTTTATGGGTGATCAATACAAGCTTACTGTACTATAGGTTATACTGAAAGTTTCTTGATTCTAATAAATAAGACTAGATATAATACTTACGGTACATTTATTATTTTTCAAAATATATTCCCTCGCAATTAATGCATTCTCTGAAACCACTGTACAAATCAGTTGGACCAGTATTCCTTAGGGACCTCTTTAATGGCTTTATGGAACGCATTCACCGCCGATTCAGGGCTCGTAAAACGTGTGCCTCTGAGTTTGTATTTACTTTTTGGAAACAAAAAGAAGTCGCAGGGTGAGAGGTTTGGGCTGCAAGGCGGATGCGTCATCAGTTCCACATTTAAACCTTCAAATAGGCTTGTGTTAAAAAAGTTAGGCACTTTCGTCGACAAATCTTCAAACGAAAAGACCGACTCTGCCGACCAGCTTTTTCTTTCAGATTCAAAGCAGTCCACCCAGGTTTTGTCACCTGTCACGATATAATAAATAGCCAATGACTGTCCTCCGTTAGACTTTTTATCATTATAGGCCACCACTTGACACGCAGTCGTTTCTAGTCCTCCGTTAAGTCATGCGGTATCCATCGAGTGCAAAGCTTCCGAACCTTCAGATGCACATGTAAAATATTTTGCACTTGGCTCATTCCAATGCCTAACAAAGCACGAATTTACTGGCAAATAATTTTTGCCAATTTCAATAAGTTGTTGTACGGTGTCATTCTTAGAGTCTGTAACCGCAGTCGCCGGCCGACCTTCACGTACCTCGTCAAGAAGTTGATCACGTCAACGTCTAAATTCTCCAAACCACGAATACACAAAGCTGCGACATGGTTCTTCATCACCAAATGCCAATTGAAGTTACTGGCAACTCTATTGTTGACTTCAGCAACAAAGAAAAACACAAAAATCTTTGCACGAAAATGTTTACGGCTTAAATTTTGATAGCGCCACACAATTTTCGAAAAAACAAATGACAGACTCGCAATTAAAAAGTAACATGTTCCCAAAGAGTTCCATTTTCGAATTCCATAATTGTTTCTCATTCTTTAATTGTTAGTGGCCAGATCCAGAGACTTTCATTATGCCAACACAAATTACACTCAACATGTGTTTGAAAAGATTAATTTATTTTCAGGTGGCTATATTTCGAACACAGAAAAGATTTACGGCAAAGTGAAGCTTTAAAAACAGACGCCGAAAAGGAACAGACTCAACAATTATAATAAAATAAATTAAGAAGAATATTTTTTAAATATTTATTTTAGAGTTTTTGTTGTAACTTAAAAGAAAAATATATGTTAATTTTTTACAACGGTTGTATGAAGTTTTATTAATATCTATACTAATGTAATAAAACTGAAGAATTTGTTTGTTTGGAAACTACTGGTTTAATTTTACAAATTATTTCAGTGTTAGATAGCTCATTTATAGAGAAAGGCTAGAAAGGTTATATACTATCACGCGACAACCAATAGGAGTCGAGTATTTTCGACTCAGAATGATGATCTGAATACACTATTTCAGTATCCGTTACACCGTCCCTTACACCCTGTATTGTGTAAAGTATTAACAGATGTTGATTAACTTAAAAAAAATCTTTAAAACTAAAGACAAATAAGTTTTATAAGTAGTGTTTTAAAATCTCCATTATTACCTATCCTTACTTTAATAAGTAACTGGAGATAACTAACATTAAATGAGCAGCTTGTAGTCTTATTGTAATAGGAAACTCTTTGTATGTGAATGCCGATAATATTACACAGAACAAATACGTGATAACTATTACTTGTTCTATAATCTTGAGTTATTTGAAGCTCATTATTCAGAACTCGATGGTTGTTATACATATATGTTTATCAAATTGCCGTCGTGTAAATTTGTATAATTTGTTATTGTTAACCATTCTATTATGTAATTTATGAATACCAATATAGGTTTTATTTCTATAGTAAATAATAGATTTTCATGATTTCTGTCTGAGAGCATTTACACATATATTTGTTATACCAGCTTTGTGGGGTCCGCCCACGTGTGTGTTGGCTATCGCGGTAAAAATTAGCCGTTGATACTCGCTAATATTGTAGCTTGTAGCTGTCGAATTTTTAGAATGATATTAGTGGGTCAGGCGTGAAAGCGTAACAAACAAACAAACTCATCCACTAACTTCAAACTAATGCATTCCATCCATAGTAATATTATAAATGCAAAGTGTGTCTGTCTGTCCGTCTGTCTGTCTGTTACCTCTTCACGCTTAAACCGCTGAAACGATTCAGATGAAATTTGGTATAGAGATAGTTCGAGTCTTGGGAAAGGACCTCGAATAGTTTTAATTCCAGAAATTATCCTATAAGGGGGTGTAAAGTGGCAACACGGGGTGCAATTTAAATATTGAATCAATAACAGCTGAAGTGATTTAAATTAAATTTGGAATGGAAATAGTTTGAGTTGTAGAGAAGAATACAAAATAGTGTTATCCTCGAAATCATCCCTTAAGGGTATAAAATATTATAAATGCTAAAGTAACGTCCGTTACGCTTTCACGGCGAAACTGCTGAACCGATTTTAATAAAATTTGGGCTGGGAGACACTTTGATTCTTGAATAAGGACACAGGATTTTTATCGCTATAACTGACATATACAAGGGCAGAGCCGCGGGCAAAATCTAGTAACATATAATTGTGTATTACGAGAATTAACGCACTCACGATACGTATTAAGAACATCCCTTTGAATTACTGACGACTACTTGCAGACGTTCATTGCCGGCACGAGCAGACTGGTCATCTGATGAAAAGTGACCCACTTTTCATCAGATGACCAGTCTGCTCGTCTGCCCCCTCTAACATAAAAAAAATTTGCCTGAGGTTTCTACAACTCCACTGGCCGTGGTCACAGGCTGTCTGAGTCAACCTTTCATGATCGCGTTAATTCCCCTAATATATAATTACAAACTGTTGTTCCAGTCACAGCATCTTAAAGCTTTGCTTAAGAGGATTTAAAAGTCAGTGTTTCCCAACATTTCAAATACGTTTACAGAGTGTTGTCTTGGACAGTTCGATAAAAAGTCAATTGGTAATATACCAAATATGTGCCGATTCGAATTACCAATTTGAAATACGTAAAAATATATCTTAAGCCTAACGGTAAACGGTAAGAATGGGTTTTTAAAATTACCAGGGACTCAAATGACGATCTACTGTGTCTCATCTTTTATTTGACTATCAGTCAATTTCAAACTTATGCTATGGTAATCTTAATCAACTGTTAAATAGAAAATATATGAATACAACCAAAAAAACTTTATAAGCACACCCAGCAATAAATAGAACTTTCTACTATGTAATTTACCTCAAAACATTTTACTAAACTATTTGAGTAGTCAATAATCAATCTTATTACTTATTATAGTTATTATTATTCCATCTCATCAACACTTTGACATAGCAACTTGACCGCTTCTACCTAATGACAACAAAACTTCTGACAGCATATAACAACCAGGCCCAATAAAAAATTTCACCCGAAATACTGTTGGGAAACTTTGAACACCAGCTCACATGCTAACGAGCTACACGAAGCCCTTACGACTATTTAACGAGTATCAGCCAACCACTGACTTGCCTGTTATTTTACATGTTATTAATTCTGCCAAGCCGCGTCATTATCGCTGCTTTTAATTACGTATAATGAATAAGCGAAAATTACCTTTTGTATTATTCCAAACCCCTTTATGTGGAGGTTTGCTCCTATCTTAATGAGGTTTTCAAATTTTAAATACTGTTCTGAAAATAATTAACGATCTACGATGAAAGTCTTTTGACTGATCCGTTAAGTCGCTTCTTGATTGGTTTCACTGTTGTGCTGTATTAACGATTGGCAGTTTTGTCGTCATCGTTCATGTCATCTATTGAAGCGATAAATACTATTAACCGATACTTTGAATAACGTTGTCAAGGCGAAAGATTCCACTTGTACTCCGCATTAAAATAGAATAGAATAAACTTTGTTGTGTATATATATAAATATATATATTCTGTACAATTTCGAATCGTCAGCGTCCATGAAACGTAGATATAGATGATGAAGATATAACCTATCAGGAATATTGTTAACCTCGAAAATCCTCGAGACGCGCTTGACGTTGTTCTGTTCATATGGAAATATGCTGACAATTTTGCTTAGAAAGGTATTACAAGAATCGAACTCAAATACTTTATTAAAATCATGTCTCAGGCTAGCCTGAATCTATTACTATTCTACCTTGACTAATTTAAAACCTTTTCAATAAAAAACGCAAATAAATAAGAAATTGACATGATAAAACTGTTGTAGTTTAGGTAAAGTTAATAACATTCAAAAATTAGATCATAAAATTAATAATAAAAAAAAACATATTGTTTAATCAAAACACTTCAAGAAAATAAGTGTACTTAATGACGTTTAAAATTAAGTGAGAGATAAACTTTGTGTTCAAACATGTACCCAAGTGCAGGTTTCAATTTGCCTCTCCGAGCGTGATTCACGTGTGTTGTATAGAGTTGTGGCCCGAACTTCGCCGTATAATTTCTTGGGCAAAACACTTGGAATATATAATTGTACATAGTCACGGCACCCATTATTTAGATTTAGGCAAATCAGTCCTCGCAAAACATTGCTTTTCACTTACACTCCGGTGTCGTTTGTCATGAGTTTTTGGTGTCTAGTAAAGTTTGAAATTAATAAGGTCGGTGATTCACCAAATACAAAGCGATATAGAGAGCTATGTGCTAATTTTATTAATATTCTTTACTACTGCTACTGTCCCGTAAGTGTATACCGTAAATGTCATATATGTTAGACACAATATTGTATTAACTAATAAATTTTAAAAAAACTTTAAAAAACTAATTTGTGAATTCTCCACACTAAGTTAAGACTAGGAAAATAATAGGATAGAAGATACTTTTTCTTATAAAGAAATCTAGAGTGGATTATCTCAATTACTAAGCAATCTACTGTCTTTCTTTTTTTTAACAATTATTATTTTTGAAATATTAAAAGTACGATTTCTATATAACTTCCTAAATATACCATTTTCATAGGAGGGAATCTTCAATGAATTTTAAATAACTTCAACATAAAATTTTAATTTACAGGTAACGCTGCAAGCAATGATCAACATATAATTATTTTTTGTTAATTAATAGTCCTTAACTAGGCAGAGACTGTGCTATGTTAACCAGATTGCTTATAAACACATTTGTATTTTTTTAAATACATACATATTATAGATAAATTACAACACATGACCGTGCTCATCACATAATATTTGTCCTGGTTGAAAATCGAACCACCGTCTCCGGCTTAGCAGTCAAAGTCACTAACCACTAGACCAACAGGCCCGTCAATTAATTATATCATTTACAAAAACAGATTTAAATATAAATATATAAATTGGATAAATTTAATATCTTCATCTTTATCTCATACTGTAACGCCAACTTTACTTCACCAGGCAATTATTACCATACCGAATGTGGGAGTTAATTAATTCCAATATCTCCACTGATTAAGTTCATCTTTAAACTCGGTATATTACGAATAAATTAAGTTATTCTGAATTCATATTTTTTCATATTTCGAATTCATAGGTTACGGGTTCACGACAAGGATAAATCATTTATCCTATTTTGTGACTTGTGGTGAATATACTAAAAGTGAAAATATGTTTCTTCATGGCATAGGGGGCAAACAAGCAGACGGGTCACCTTATGGTAAGTGACTACCGCAGCCTATGAACTCTTGCATCTCAAGAGTCTCAAGTAAGTTGCCTTGGGAACGCTCCTGCCTTCCTCCCTCCCCCTCCCCCCACTCCTTTGGGAAGGGGTCTCTAAAGGCTTCATCTCATTCACTCGTTGAAAAAAAACGTGGGAATTGCTTAAGACGACTTTCTTAAAAGCCTTCCAAAAGGCGTAGATCAATTTTCACTCAATTATTACCAGTCCTTCGATAAGATAACGAAAAAAAACATCCCGCGGCCTTGACCTACTGGTCGATGACGAGCAGTCTTCTGAATTTATGTAAGAATATTGTAAGTCTTCACTTATTTCCTAGGTGAAATAAGAAGCGTGAAAACTAGCGTGGTCGGAGAGCCGCTTTCAGATGGATATTTATCTAATATTTTACTCCGAACTGAATATATCTTACATTATATTCTTCAAATCTTTAAGAAAAGAGCTTACACCTATCTCAAACTCCGGCAATGCTCTTGTGTATCCTAATTTGCAGTGATTCATGAGCGGCAGTAGACACTTTCTATCGGGTGACCTGTTTGCTCATTTGCCACCTTAAACATAAAGAAAACTCATTGTGAAATAGATGTACATAGCAATTTTGATAAAATCTAAACCGACTAACATCGCTTTAGGCAAACAAATCTAACTGAGCATATCAATGTTTTAAACAATGTCAAACATAAAACTCAATTATAGCCGTAATGAATTGAAAAATTAAAATATCGGGCTACTATTAAAAACAAACAATGTGAAAAATTGTTCTACGAGTATAGTAAAAGTGGCATTTTCGTGTATTTGATTTAGCATGATCAATACAAACTAAATAAAACAAAAATATGTTCGTTTGTTTAAGTGAGCTGAGCTTGTCAAAGGACCAATTACTGAAAATAGAATTTGTTAAGCAAATTTAAGGTACTGAATAAATGTTTTGACTGTTTTGAAGCGGTTCTGATACTGCCACAAGGAGGGTTGTCGTTCGTTTCGTTGATAATAATACTGGTTTCTACCTACTTTGTACTTTGAAGATCTCGTTAGGTATTGACATACATAAAGCATTCTAATTATATAAATACATATTAATACGTAAGGAGAATTCTAACTATAGTAGACTTAAACGTCAATATTATTTAAGTGAGAACACTTGGACTTCCCACTCACAGTAAGTTTGAGTGTCCAATACATGCATGTGTTTTTTTTTATGGAATAGGGGTCAAACGAGCAGACATTTACGTGTACATTCTAATCAGAAATATTCCTTTACTTCCATTCCCATCGCTTCGTACCTACATTGACATCCATTTAAAATATTTAGATCAAATTTTAATATTTTCATTGTGTTAGATTAATGGCAAAAGCCCGTGTGATGACGTATCAAGAAAACAGATTGTCACCACCTGTATTCGTCCCCTGGGTGTCAAGCCAACTAAAGAATTATTCTTCTTTAGTAGCACAGAACAACAGCACTGAAAAAAAAACGAGAAACAAAAATACCAACCCATCTATCTAGCGTGGTTTAGTAAGTCAAAATCTCCTTAATAAGGAGAGGCCTATGTCCAGCAGTGAGCTGGTGAACACCTCTGCGTTATTAATCTTTGTTTGATTTCAGTGACCAAGTACTCGTAGATCATCTGTACCAAGACAGTTCAACATATAGAATTCTGTCACTTTTTGTCGGTTATTTTTTTTTCAACAAGTCATTTATACATAATTTAACACTGATTAAAAATGTAAGCTTTCTGTAATTCTAAGAAAACTTGAAATATTGCAAATGTCATCTTCCTTGATATCCAAAATTGCTTCACGAAGAATTCCCTGTACGAATTTATGTATAATTTGGTTGCACTATTTGATATCAAAAAGAAGTTGCAAACTTGTGAGTCATCAGATTTTTTATTTTATTTATTTTCTCTTCTTATTTGTATCATCTTAAATTTGGAAAAATCACATCATCCGATACTGGTGAATTAATAATATTACAATATCAATTTTGATGATGCTCTCTATTGCACTCCCAACATAACAAGGAATAATATTTCTTTTAATGTACCAATTTCAACAATTTTATTTGTACCAGTTTAAATGACATACTTAACTCATTGTGTTCAGAATTACAAAGTAAACATCAGTTTGCCAAAAGACGTAAAACTTATTGTAGTTATCATTAATCATTTATCAACATCATCATCAGCCTATCGCAGTCCACTGCTGGACATAGGCGTCTCCCATTGCACGCCACTTAGATCGATTTTGGGCTTCTCGCATCCAAACATACCAAACATTTATACACAATATTAACATTATTTAAAAATATTGACACGACTAACGATAACGATAGAATACGATATTCAATAAATATATCATTACCGTGGTCCATTCATACGTAAAAATTTAGATACCAGCAAGATTACCACTTCACCAAATATGTGAGGATTTGTACTAACACTGTCAGGCCCTTGTTAGGATTTCATCCGGACGCTGAAATTGTCAGGATTTCTGAATATTTAAGGAATATTTGAATGTGTCAGGCCGAATAATCTGTATTGAAGCTCAGCTTCTGAGTCATCGTAGTGTAATGTTATACAGATTCAATTGAATTTCTGTAGTTAGAGTCTTATGTCTGAACAAACTCAATTCAAGATAATTGTTTCCAGAAGTACCACTTTACGATAGGATGAGTGATAACCCATAAGATTGTGACCATCAGAAGGGAAATCCACTACCAATATTTTAAAATGAAATAACTATTGACAGTTGCTGCCTAATTGCTTTTAGTTGCTACTATTGCTTAGATAGCTGCCACCCCCGATTTCAAAAAACAACTACTTTTTAAGATGACGGCCCAGTCTGTCATTCATCATCGACAGTCTGTGGTAGTCCACTGCCGGACACAGGTCTCTCCTTAGAAAGAAGGTTTTGGCCTACTACACCATGGCCAGACGGGTTAGTATAAGTTTTGTTTCAATTTTTCCTTCTCTTTGCAGTGCTCTTGTCCTGCGTAGTTTGCTCCCTTAGTCGGCTCCTACGACATCCACGGGATGAATAGGGGTGGTGACACTCTGTATTCTAAATTCGTCACCACACTGACAAAAAAAATGATTGTTCAATACCTCTCTAGAACCTATCCTAAGCCTATCGAATATCCAGGCCTGACTGTATGTATATAAATCTTCTCTAATCTCACTTCTCCAGTTATCATCAAGATTTTATGAAGATTTTTCTAATAAACGTCGGGTGACCCTGCCACTAATCCGTATACACGGGTGATGTACAATCAAGCGATTCATTTAATTCAGATATACGGTCCAAACAGGTGTAGTGACGTCACCGTTATGCTCACCCAAAGTGAGATTTAATGCATGTAACATGTACCTGAATGCACTTTGTAATGAATTTACGATTTTAGCTTATGATTCATAGCCTTGTGTATAAACCGGTATTATTTTATTATCAGTCTTTTAGTCTTAGTGAAATTGCAATTATTTCCTTTTCAAAATATTTTGTTTATAATTGCAAGGTTTCAATTCGTAGCGATCAACCATTTTACGACCAACGATGGTTTTATTTTTATGTTTATTTTCCGTAAGTTCATCCATATAAATTTAAATACTAGAAGAACCTAGAAGAACTAGAAACATAGCACCATAATACACCATTTCATTTGTTTTTTATTTTAAAAGGCAAAAATTTCATCAGACTCTATATGACAGGTTGAGCTATTTGAGTACCACAACAGAAAACCAAATTTTAATATACTTTTGTGAAAAAAATTGCACAATGTGAACTCACCAATCAGTGGTCATTATGTAAATTTCCTGTATTATAATATTTCAGTGCAAATTTTAATTAGTTTCTTCAATATTCACCGACTGTTGAGCAAAAGGAATTTGAATTCTTGTTTCTGACAAGTATCGACACCATCCTACAAGATGTTTTGTGTATTGTTAAACGACTGCAAAGAGAAAAAGGCTTTCTTCGTGAGTTCGTCTCGTGTTTTATTTACGTAACAATTACTTCGACACTGTTGCGTCATTTTGTGTAATCATTTTAAGGCGTGTTGTTTTTTATCGGCATATAGATCTCATGCAAATGTATTATTTCATTGGATCATTACTGAAAAGGGAATAGAAAATATTACTTTCTTGTTAACCGACCTTATGTCTCTTTGATGATGACCGATCTCATGATCTTAATTTAAGTAAATGCTGATTTATCAAAACAATACACAACTTTTTTTAAATAATAGCTAGTATCACTAAGGATGATAAAATAATTCTAATGATACTTCATATTACCAAACTTTTAAAGGTATTTATAAAATATATCCTAAAACACCTCGTTTTGCCGATCAGTCTTGGCATAATGAAAGTAAGAATCAAGTTTACCACGAAAAAAAATGGATAAAATTTTAAATCAAACTATTAATTCATTACCGCTTTTTCATTGAAAATGCACTGCATTAGGTACTTAATACGAGTATTTAAAGTAAAACTGTAAAGACTTAAATAATTTTCTTAAAAAAAACGAAATCTGTAAAGAGATTTATCAGATGTTTTAAATTCAATATTGTGGATTCCATTATTCAGACTCCTAAGAAATTTCGGGTTAAAGAAATGCAAATCTCAACATTAAATCTAACACGACGACTCAGACTCAGTTTAGATAAGAATGTTTACTGTTTCCCACAAAAAATAAACAAGCAATAACTTTATCAACGTTTATCACAAATAACATGAGAAATATTATTAGCACTTCCCTATGAGTTCCTTCGTAATAAGTTATCTACAAATTAATTTAAACGATATTACTAATTATAGATATTAACTTATGCGGGTACGACTGGCGGTTCCGTTGGCGATGCCGGAGTACAGGGCACATTCAGTCTTTTGTCTTTCTCGTCTTGTTTGTGCTGGTAGTAGAACCAACTGAAACAAGTAATAATAAATATTTAGAAATATTCTATTCTAGTTTATTGGGTCAGTTTATCTTTATTTGTATTTTCGGTTTTTTCATTTTTATTATGCTGGGAATGTTGATCTAGATCCTGATATTGAATCCTGAGTACTAAGTCAAATTTCTTAGATTAGATTGCCACCCAGGCAAGGGCGGATCCAGCTTTGGTCACATAGTCGTGGTCAAGTCACAAGAAGTTATAATTTAATTTTTATAATCATACATAAAAGTAAAAAGTAGGTATTTTATTAATGTATGTATAGTCTGGCAAAAACGGGTAGAAACGGCAACTAAAATTTCAATACTTTGGAAACCCTTTCTCTACTAATCTATGGTTAAGAACGGGTTTCTTGTCTATGGTACAGGTACCGAAGACGTCAGTTAGAAGTAATAATGCCTTCTAAAAGAGAGTTTATCTATTTCGCGTATTTAGCTTGTACAGTGGCGCCCCCGTTTATTCCTATTATTTTTTGCCAGACTATAAGTACCTACTCACCTACTGTACTTAAAAATACCTATATTTAAATCACAAAATCAAGTTTTCTTTTAAGTCTTCTCCCGAAACGCTTTATCACTTCATCTACTTCAATGGGTACGTTTTTATGAACGTGGAGAAGTGCCAGTCCGGTTAGACGTTCTTCAACCATTGAAGCTCTTAGCCACGAGTTAATTCTTCGTAACGTAGAGAAAGATCTTTCATGAGTTCAACACATCTAAAAAATATTTACCCCTAAACATAAGTCAGTGTCACACGAAATGTGACATCAGATGACAGGAGGCAGTGGCGCGGTAAAATTCAGATTTTCGATGCGTTCGTTCCCGAATAATGCGTATGCCATCATACAAAATATTAATTTATAATAAATTGATTAAATATCGAAGGTATTTACATGAAATCTATACTGTGACAAAAAAAATATATCCTTACTTAAAACCATTATCTATGTTTAATAATTTTAAATAGTGGTCCACGGTGGACCCAGCCCAGGGGGGGGGTCATGACCCCCATGACCCACCCCCTGGATCCGCCCTTGCACCCAGGACGAATGATTGTGTGATGAGAACTAACATTTTGTGCTGGGTCTGCTACTAGTTTATTTAGAATATGTATGAAGATATTAATGGTGTACTGGATATCCTTAACGATGAATATTACAGGGAGATATAAGATCTACGAATTCGTTATTTTTTGCGGATCTTGAACGGATCGTATTAATTTTTATTTTATTTTTAAAGACAACTTCGACACTATTCTGTGTCGCGGGAGACTTGTCAAACATACATGAAATGTGATCGAACTCACAACACTCACCACAGTAGGAAACGGCGAGGTGACCTCTTAAACCACTAGTATTTAATTATATCCGTGTGGTGACGGATTAAGAATACGGAGTGTCACCACCCCTATTCATCCCCTGGGTGTCGTAAAAGCCGACTAAGGGGACAAACTACGCAGGACAACAGTTTCAAAATTCAAGGAAAACTTGACACAAACCCTATACCAACCCGTCTGGCCAGCGTGGTATAGTAGGCCAAAACCTCCTTTCTAAGGAGAGGCCTATATACAGCAGTGGATTATTCAAGGCTGTTGATGATTTAATTATACTATTATATTGTATATCTTAAAAATATATAGGTATGTTTATCAGCAGTCTGGTTACCGTAGTGTAGTGTGTGTGTGAGATGTGTTCGATTTATTATTATTATTATTTATTGTATACCTACAGTTTATTCTGTCTCTTTCTTCACACGTAATTAAGTGTACTCGTAGGTTAAAATCTCCTTTCTAAGGAGGGGCCTATGTCCAACAGTGTACTTTTAAAGGCTGTTGATAATGATAGTGATTATGATTAGGTATACTAAATTTATGGTTTCACTATTACTCTTGAAATGAGTCAGTAGTTTTTGAACCAAAACTTTCGATTAAACCTAATACTCAGTTATCAAAACAATTGTATTATTTACTAAAACAAACAATAGGTAAATGTAATCATACATTGTACATCATTGAAATGTTTATTAAGGTTTATTATTGTCTCACGATTGATTGATTTCCAATCTTCAATTAAATGGTGAGTATCATTTCTATTCTGTGTGTGTGTATGTGTGTCTATACTGTCTTTCTATTTTTTCTCTATAATTCTCACGAGTATTAACTTCCATTTCCTTCTTACATCGTGGGTTAATTGGCAGTGGCGTGGGTTAATATTTACAAAGCTAATGTATCGAACAGCTGTATAGTATTGTATAAGTAATGTGATCAGCCTATTGCCATCCACTACTGAACGACTACGACCACTACGAACTACTCAAAGGGTGGGATTGCCCTCGTAGTCAGCGGTAGTCACTTACCATCAGGTGACCTGACTGCTCGTTTGGCTAGGTATCCTTGCCTCATTCGTTTTATTCACCCTAATATATCTTAGGTTAGAGGATTAGAGCCCGGTAGATCTCTGAACCAGAAACCCGATGAAACCTTTTGCAATGACCCCCAATGACCCCCAATGACATACAGAAAGGGGCAGGAAAATGATCATAATGAATGATGTCGATGAAGACGAAGTTCGAAATTTACTACTCACATAAAAATGCTCAAAGCTGGTATCGTTATTAGGACGCTCACGAGGAACACAGCTCCTGGCAGAATATTCAACGTTGCGATGTACACCCTGGAGTACAGCGGTGCGAAGATAATAGGCATCATCGTCTCTGCTACTCCGAATAGAGAATATACTTTGCCTGTAATTTATTACATAAAATTACTTAATCTGTTATTTGAGACAAAAGTATGGCTCTACTAATTCTCCAAACAAGACAAAATGTGGTAGGACTCGTTCACCGTCTTTCAGAAGTGCAAATTAAAGTTATGAACATTAATGCACCTAGGAAATAATATACGTTTTCACCCATTGCTATCTACAGCTAGATCATCATACATCATAGTTAATACTTCATGTTTTTCGTAAAATATGACAATATCACAAATTATGTATCTATTTATGGTACTAAACTTGATATGACATCAGAATTTTAATAAATTACTTGTTTTATTATACCTAGTAACACAATATAGAAATGAAAGACTTTCAAAGTCCAAGGTCTCCATGTATAAATCGGCATTGCTTGTGTCATACTTTCATTTCATAAACGGAAAGCTTAAACATAGTATTCCCAACTATTAAATTTCATTCTAGCCGTACATATAATAATCAGTGATATGCTAGAAATATAGTTCACTCACCTAATTCTTGATACGAAACTAATTTTGATGCGATCGACCTCAACGCAATCGCTGTAGTACCATTTAGTATTTCGAGAACTGGTGCTGTAAACAAAATACGTTATTACAGTCTTCAAGTAAGAAACGTAAAAACAAGTTGTTTTATCCACACTCTGTTATGCACTGCGCAATCAAAACTTGATTCCATATAGTTAAGTTTAATTTGATTACAAATACTGTTAATTGAAGGGCTTGAAATATTATAAGCGATGCTAATAACTATATGCACACCACCTCTATTGAGATGATAGTATACAGTAATTTATAACTACAATAATTATATAATAACAATTAAAAAGTAGTAACTAGTTTTGAGGAAGCAAAACATAAGAAAATATAAACGAACTGAGGTATTTTTTTTTTAAATCTATTAAAAATTGAAAGGATTCATAATAATAATGTACAAAATACGGTAATAAATAGTTAAAAATAGTTTAAAACTCACATAGATAAACTTCGCGACCATTCCTGGCGAATGCTAACACTAAAACTCCACAGATCTTGCTTGAAGTAGAGATTATGCCGAGTACTGCATCATCTGCTCTTAGTTTTTTGCTAAACACGCTTATGGAAAACAATGTACCTGTAAATAAAATTATTGGTAAATTAAAAGATTATCGAAATTAATTGACTTCCAATCCAACATTAGGTGACATAAATATTTATTTATAAATGAGCTTCTCACCCATTTTGATTAAGTCTGGATCCAGGGAAATAAATATGTTTATTGATTATTATAATGTAAATATCCGTGAGTTGACGGACACCTCCCCTCACCTCCCCTGTTCATCCCGTGGGTGTAGTAAGAGACCACTAAGGGAGTAAACTACGAAGGACAACAGCACTGCAAAGAGAAGGCAAAACTTGAAACAAACCCTATACCAACCCGTCTGGCCAGCGTGGTATAGTAGGCCAAAACCTTCTTTCTAAGGAGAGGTCTATGTCCAGCAGTGGACTATTAAAGGCTGTTGATGAGAAGAAACATAATATGAAAAATGATGATTATTGATTTGAATCACTAACCTAAAAATTTTTTTGTCTGAAAATTACTTCATTCGAAAATGATGCAATATCATCAACACATATCCAAATAGTAATTTTTATACTAGATTAAAATAAAAACGAATTAAACTGATTATAACTAGTTGATAAATCCAGATACCTAAAGTAATATCTGGTCCAGTTACAAATCTAGACTATTTTCCAAATGGCAGGTGCTCCAACGCTAGCCAGGTGCTATCGATAGCACAGGTCTGACCATTTAGAGTCAGCAGCTGGTGCCATTTGGTTAGAACTTTGTAAATAAATCGACTAAAACGGGCACATGTGAACTAGCTATAACATGCCGCGGTACTTCCCCGAATAGAATTTTCACACAGGTATGTTAAAAGTACTGATATTACAAAGTGATATTTTACTTATATTTGCAATATCTTAACGACTAACTGCGAATATTCTAACATTATAAATCAATAGTGTCAAACAATACTGTAAAATAGATCCGTGTCAAGGTATATTTTGAGAAGGTTTAATTTATAAAATACTAATATTAACATCTATTTGTAGAAAAAAATTGACATATCCTTGGTAAAACATGGGAAGCATATATTGTATTTGTATAGGTTTCTAATACTACTTCTAAGAAAATGTTTTTGGAGGTCGATAAACTCTTATGCGAAATAATTGTGTAAGTGGAGGTAGACTAAGGTAAAGGTAAATCGCGGTCGGAATTCATCCAGGATTTCGTTCACGATTACAACAAGTCAATTTGCTATCTAATAAGCTTCAATTTAAGCAGGGATCGAATTGTCACCCAAAGAATTGGAAGACATTATACGCCCACATTTTGACAAGCTAATTTTAGTGCCACATACGTAATATCAGGAAAACCTCTTTACGCCAATCGGGTCCTTTCAGGAATAGATAGAAAAATGGCAGTATATGCAAGAAAAAATCAGAATCATAATCAGTAGAAAAGATTAATTAAAGCTCGAGCCATCAGGCTATCAGGAGCAGGAGCATACCTGTAGCTCAAATCGAATAAATATAGTGATATAATTATCATAAAACAAATAGAACAATAATTTAATCTAAAATTATATATAATAAGTGTTTCTTTAATTCGTGGACAGTTCAAATGTTAATCACCAACTCCAACAACTTTATACAAAACGTAAACAAAACTGTGCATTCTTCATAATTAGTTATTGCGCGGTCCTGTCCTAAATTGTGGTTGAAACTTTTTACAAGTGCCCTGAGAGTCGTTTATACAAATTCAACCATACGAGGACAATTCATAAATTAGATCGCAACAATAAAATGAATGTTAGATGGATGGCGTTTTCATGGATGAAGTAAAAATAACGCGTGTATAGTTTTTGTAATTTTGAACTGGAAAAAGCATGGAAGTTTCTGATCCCAGTAAAACCATCGTAGTAAAATAAGAATGAAGCTTTCATGTTGTGTTTTAGTTTATATTTAAAGTATTTTATTTACTTATTTATTCTTTTTACATTTTTTGTTCCATTTTGGAAAAGTTTTTTTTATTAAAGATTACATTTCGAAACTTTACCACAATTCAGTAGTTCTAATTAAAAGAGAAAATATTTTTTACGTTTCGAATCACTAACGATAGTTCTAGAACATAAAATAAAGCTTCGGTATAAATAATAAAGGATTAAGTACTTTTAACACGAACCTTTATCTAGTACATTTTACTTGTAGTATGAGCTTAACTCAAAAGAGCAATGTGTTAGAGCCTGCGCGATTTTTTAATGAGAACATTCAGAACAACTGCGATCTTTTATCTCATTTACTGACTCCCATCAGGCTTGCGGGGCACAAAGTACAAAGACAAATGAGTACTCACCTATGGAATGTGTGATGAGGCTGAAGGTGGAATATATGCTGTACTTCACTTCGTCCCAATTAAACTGGTACCGAGTAAATATATACATTATACTTAGTTCACCTGCCAACAAAAAGTCATGGGTACAAAAATACATATATACTAAATTGTTTGAGAACATTGATCCCTGATTTTTGTAAGAACATTAAAACAAATAAAGACAGGTCTTTGCTTTCGGCAATGCGTTGACAGCCTTGAAGCACCCCCGCCAGAACCAGTCCTCAAATAACCTCACTCACTACCAAGTGAGTGAGGTTATTTGACCCGTTTTTTACTTAAATTTACCAAAATTTAAGTAAAAAACGGTTTTATACCGGTTTTCTGTTAGGTCTTGGTGTCACATTGCTCGAGTTGATCCAAATATGCATGATCATGGCTCTTCCACAATTACAATTAACACACTTTATGATCTAAATAACACATTGTATGTAAAGTGTATCTTTAATTTGTTTAAAAACAACCATTGGGTTTATGCTCTCTTCCCGGGATGAAATTTTAAAAAACCTAGCAAAACACGATTTGAAGGGGGAAACTGTAAAGCAATCACAAGCCAGCCTGGCAAACTTGTGATTTCCCTCGAGATACCACTGTTAGAATGACAACTGTATACTCACAATTTCTTAAAGATTCCACCATATTTAATGTACACTTACAGAAAATCAAAAGCAAATAATTAATATCTTTGGCCCTACACATATTTTTGTAATTTTAATATAAATAAACTACTTAAAAAAATCAATAGTGAAAATTACGAATAGAAATCTTCATACGATTGTGTGAGGCTTTCAATAATATAAGTCATCTAAAACCTATGTCTACTGTACTTGGAATCGTAAGCCCAATGGAGTGGTCTCATTACAACGTCAAATAAGGTTCTACACCACTAAGGAAGCGCTTTTTAAATTCCACGCAACGACGTCGCGGATGCCAGCTAGTAATGTATATATCCAGCCTTACCACGAAGTCAGCCGTCTTTAGGATCAGACCACACACATTAAAGCTATAGTCACTGACACTGATAGACGCTATCGGTTTTCAGATATTTGCAAACAAGTCATCACGATCATTTTCATCATTTAAGCCATAGCGCGATTACTGCAAAACTGCAGGCTTCCCTCAATACTTTCCAAGAAGACGTCGACTTCTCAGTAAGTGAGTGTACTTTATTGCTATCAACAAAACAAATACAAACATGATTTATGTACGTACTATTCACAATGATATCATTTTATCTTATCATAAAGGTAACATTGACCAGTGATTAATAATAAGTTTCATTCATTGTTATACATACAATGGTGGACATATTGAAAGTCTCTGGATCTGGCCACTTACCATTAAAGAATGTAAAAACAATTATGGAGTTGAAAATGGAACTCTACTGATGCGAGACTGTCAATTTTTTTTATGTTAGAGGGAGCAGACGAGCCGACTGGTCACCTGATGGAAAGTAACCATCGCCGTCCATGAACGTCTGCAACTCAGGAGTCACGTTCTTTCGAAAATTGTGTGTCGCTATCAAAATGAATTTCACTCGTGAACATTTTCGTTTAATGATATTTTATGATTTTTGTTGTTCATTCAACGAGAAAGTTGCCAGAGGCTTCAATTGGCATTTGGTGATGAAACCATGAATACACAGAGCTGCGATATGGTATCGCAGCTCTGTGTATTCATGGTTTGGTGGTTTGTTGCGGTTTGGTTTGTTCTCCATGACGTACGTGAAGGTCGGCCGGCGACTGCCGTCACAGACTCTAATATTCATACCGTACGACAACTTATTGAAACTGACAAAAAAATAACTTACCATCAAATTCGAGCTTTGTTAGGCATTGGAATGAGCTAAGTGCAAAACATTTGCAACTGAAGGTTCGGAAGCTTTGCACTCGATGAATACCGCATGACTTCACGCTTTGTACAGTGTACGCTTTGTACGCATGCTTTGTACAGTGGTTTCAGCGAATACAAAATGCATTAATTGAGAGGGAATATTTGTAAAACAATAAATGTATCGTAAATCTTATATCTAAGCTTATTTATCAGAATCCAGAAACTTTCAGTACGCCCTAAGTACATGCTACAACTTATTAGACAAAAAATACAACTATTACATTAAAAACCGAATAGATCTCCGGCTCCAAATCATTTCAACAACCGTCCGAAATAATTAATAACTGTTGATGAGATTTTTAACGTGTTTATACAATAAACTAAAGGTTCCACTACATATTTTGTAATCCGAAGTGTTAGTACGAGCGTACAAAACCATTGTTTTAAAAAACAAATTCGTCCATTTATCGTCCAGACAGTCAATTGAGAAATAGCGCTTGGTATTCATACATCAACATTCAAATAGCTCAGTCCGCTAGTCAATTATTTAATTTAAGCCAATGCATTCATGGGCGTATATGTAAATCTGTACGCAACGCTGTCGTGTGATTTATTTCTATCCCTATTGTTGCGTTTGTTATGTCAACAGCGCAATGCGACACCCTGTGTATAGTGCACAATTCAAAAGAGATTTAGGTCAAGTCATAAAATTTATAGCTATTACAAGAAAAAACAGAGAATTACATGAAGTTATTCTGCTTATGACTTCATTTACCAAGCATGGGTTGTCGGCATGATCACAGTATCTAATGTCTTCTACAAGCCAGGTAAAGGACTACTTCATTCGAAGCTTTCAGAAGGCAAATCAATACTCCTACCCTGATAACGATTTTACGCACTTCTAAGGTATAAACCACTGTCTCACTAATTCCTGATAAAAGTATAAAAATAATAACTACATCAGTCTACAAAGGATTAATGAATTAAACTGTTCTCTACTGTACTATTATCTGTAGTTCACGAGGTAATCATAATTGTTCTGATACGGATAACGGTTCAATCCAATTGTCTCACTGGTGACAGAGGTGTGTGAAAATAAGCAAGCCCGAAAACTCGCCGAAAATATTGAATAACTCATGTAACTGCAAAGACTTTTAAAAATCATTTTTGTAAATCCCGCATGGATCCTAAAAGGATTTCCGTATACATCCTTCTGGAATGCATATAATTATGACACAAGGAGGGTCAAAATTAAATAAATTCGTTTTAGGAATATCGAGGCATTTTTTTCTCTTTTTCTAAATTTTAAAAACTCTACCAAACTACGCTTAAAAAGGTACCTAACGTTTTCAAGCAACTTCCAAATAGTATATAAACGAACAGATAGAGTATAACTCTACTAGTATTATGTTATGAATAGCGATTGACCCAAGCCCCAGGCTGTGCAGAGAACTACTTAGACAGTGACGGGTATGACATAGGCATTTAATCTTAAGTTTATCTATTGTGAGCTAAAGTGCAGAATTAAACATACATGTCTGCTGAGTGACATCTGTACACAATAAAATATTAAACAAAAGTAGCAAAAGAATAAACAATTTGTGCATATGTCTGTCTTATTAATGCCGAAAAACTATTTTTAACCTTCAATTCGCAGGCACAAAAGGAAAACATAAAATGTATGTTTTAAATGTTGTTAAATGTAAATTAAATACGCAGCAAAAGGGACAGGATTCAGAAATTTGCTCATGAATATGATATTTAATTTAATTAGCTGAATACATTTTAAAATTAGTGCAGTGGTTATTGCAGTTTTGTTTATGCAGAAGCACTATTCAACAACAGCTCACCAAGTGTATGCTACAATACGCTTAGTAAGTTGTTGTTGAGTCTTCCAACCGTAATTTGAGTGGGTGACTAAATTATATATTCGAGTATGGTTAACAGATTTAGTCGAATATTGTAAAAGAACGACGGAGAATAGAAAAATAACAAAGAAGAGAGAGAATTTGAGAGAATTGAAATTCGTTTGTGCTCTTCTGTTGCTTAGAGGAAGAATTTTAGTAAATTTTTGTTAAGGTGTATTTCTTATTTGTTATGTGTTCTTATGTGTGTGATTACAGTCACCCAGAATTCTTCTTCCAGTTATAACATCACTTTACTTGATAATCACTCTCTAAAGCTAAGTGAGCACAAAGCGCTGGTTCTATCACTACAGTGCTTATGCTTAGTCAAGCTCACTTTACAAACATTATTGGTTCATTATTTATTCAATTATTAATTAGCTCTATTGAATTCATTGCTTTTAAGAATCCTATTATGTTTGATGTTTTATTACCACGTTTTGTGTTTTATTACTTAAAAACACGATATGTGAAAATTCTATTTAATTTTTCAATGTACTTCAAAAAAGTAATGCTGCAAACAAAAGGCTCCAATTCCATATTCATCCACAGAAATAAAAATTGTCAAATTCGCTATGTCATAAATTTTTAAGGCTCGCACACATTTCAATATGTGAAAATCTATTTGAAGTCAGATCAAAGTATTTTTATCAGATGATAAAGAGGTTCATCACAGCATATATTCTTTTACTACTTTTTTATATTATGCAGAGCTTTCACTGAAAAGTCATAAATTTTTGAAAATATGAACTAGTAATCTATATATATTTCTAACAACTAACACAGTATTTCGTGTGTACCTTATGAATATATACATGTAAGAATTAAAAATGCTCTTATATGAAAATTTGCCTAAAATTGTTAGCGCTTTATGTTATTTACGGGATCTTCAGTACATACGTAAATAGGTTCGTTATTTCTTTGCTTGAAATTACCTGTCGTTGCCTTAGAAATCAGAAAGTTGTTATAGTTGAAGTTTATATGCAGAAGAAGTACAGACGTACAGACGTTTTTAATAAATATTCATATCTAATTCAAAAATTATGTGGAAACGCTTAAAATAAGCTACATGCATTCTACATATACATACGACGACGATACGGAGCGAGTTAAATTATGATTGAAGTTCGACCTCTAAGCGGTCTCTAGTTTCAGCCAATGATTTATTTTAATCTTTAATTCAAATATATCTGACATTGCGTTATAACATTATCAAAAGTGCAATCTAATACGTTTAAAGATCAGACACATCACATTGAGCGGATGATTACAGACATATTACTTAGAAAACGGTCACCTCTCAGAAATAAGCAATTACAACATCAAAGTAAACATAATTACTATCAAGAATATCGTGTAAACATTACTTCAAAGCCGTAAAATGTACTTAATTTTTAAATGAAATAATTTTCAAAATCGGTTTAGTGATTTGGTGGAAAAGAGTAACAAAAAAACTCACTTTCACAGTTATAATTTAAGTATGGATTTTGCTATCATTGACTTAGTCTATTTCATTTGAGTTCTTGTTTCTTAAACCATTAGTATTTCTGTGTGTTCATTTGAATTGGCACACTACGGCCTCTTTTAAAATTCTAAGAAGAATTATAAAGAAAAATTACTAAGTTAGTTAGTAATATACATTTCTTTTTTTTAACGCCTGTTCCTAATTCTTGTTTTGATATTTGTTTTATAAAGTAATATCTATTAAGCATACAAAATAAATACAACTAAACTGAAATACCTATGGCGTTAATCGAATGGTTATTATTTCTTCGTAATGCACTAAACAGGAAAACTACCTGTTTGCAAAACTTAAAAATTGATCTTTTAAAAAATATGCGTTGTTTGATTTTTTATTTTATCTTATTTAGTAGATATATTAATAACTCTTGTTATCAAATAATAGTACCAATTGAACTTAGCTAAGAGATCAATTATATCGCTAATTAATAAATGATTAGATAAATTGACGTATAGATAACTCGATTGAAATGCACAGAACAGTTATCCAGAGTAGTTAATCAGAGATCATGAGGTTAACACAATTGGTTTCCCAGAGCAGTTCTAGAAGAGACATCTAAATCAATAAATTTCCAGAAACACTAACTTCGTCCTTTAAATCTTTGGAAACGCTTTTCTATTTCTTTCTACTAGCACACTAACACAGCTATGGTAACTACTATGGCTTTTTCATCATTTGAACTTCTCAGAATAATCAGGCCACTCATTCATCATCGCTAATCTGTTTCACGTTTCCCGAAAGCTTCTGCCAATCCTGTACATCTCTTTGACTATCAGGAACTTACTCTGACTAAAGTGAAGAACGATCAAGTGGCATGAAATTAGAACAGTTTACACTATTACCATACAAAATCTGTATATCTGTCATGTTTCAAAGATATTTCATAATATACTTTCCGTATGGTGATGGATTAAGAATACGGAATGTCACCACCCCTGTTCGTCCCATGTGCGTCGTAAGAGCCGTCTAAGGAAACAAACTACGCAGGACAACAGTACTGCAAAGAGAAGGAAAACCTGAAACAAACCCTATTCCAACCCGTCTAGCAAGCGTTGTATAGTAGACCAAAACCTCCTCTCTAACGAAAGGCCTACTTTCTCTTGTCCAAATTGCATATGTGCGTGTATTGTGTACGAGCACACACATAGCTATTTGTCGCATTCGCGGCCGTTGCCTGCCGATAACCTAAACTATATTATGACTCTAAGGTCTAACCCGTCGTGTGCAGTCCTGGCATATTTTCTTTCCGAGAAATAATGTTTAGATTTATTCGATTAATAATATCAACTATAACCTGTAGATTAATTGGATTAATAATATCAACTATAATTATTAGATTTATGGGATCAGTAATATCAACTTTAAATCATGTGGAAAAATCTTAGTACTTGGAGAGCGATTCTTGAGCATTTTTTGAGAGGCACCACAAACTGCAATGCATATTTTATTCTCCTGTAACCCGCGGGACCCGCATAAAAACAGCGGGACCGAAGTTTTTTTCTTATGGAAGACGGGGCAAGCAAGGGGGGGTCGCCTGATGGAAAGTGACCGATGAACGCTTGTAACTCAGGAGTCACAAACGTGTTGCTGGCCTTTGAGGAAGGAGTTAAATTTTTTTCTTGAAGGTTTGAAGCTCGTGTCGATCCGGAAATATCGCAGACGATAATTTGTTCCACAGATTAGGCGTGCGAAACAAATCTTGAAAAGCGGACCGTGGTAGAGTGCACATTATTCAGGTGATGGTGATGATCATTTTTCAGTATGGATCGAAAGTATCAAAGATTGGACATCACGCAATCGTAGGAAGTAGAAACAAATTCTTCAATCTAGACCCGCTTCGGGCTAGTTACGGCTTATTGGATAGCTACAGCGAAACAACTCCTAAGACACCAGTCGAGCCATGCCGGGCTTAAGTCAGTTCGATTCCAAAGAAAGCATTTTATCTTTGCTTCATCGGTGATATAAACAGAGGTTTAAGGGATACTGAGGACACTGTATTTTATTCTGTTAGTCATCATTTACTTTCACTTAATAAATAGATAAGTTCACAACTATGAAATTATACGTTTTAGGTTTTTCTCTCGAGGGTAAAACATGAGGATCAGAGTGATAGATAACAGGACCTATTTGCCTTAAACGAACTTTTAAATTAGTAGTAATGAGTTAAAAAATATTCTAAAAAGTATAAACTATATACAAAGGTACTTAAACAGAAGATGGTTTTAACTTCCTTTATCTTTTTTACATTTATGCGAAGTAATATGGCTGAGAGACTCAAAGTTCAAGGCGAAGGCACTCAGAGTTGTATTAACTGTAGATTATGTTCGATAACTCCTTATTAACATTGTGCAACTATAAATTAGTTTCATCGGTACATAACTCGAATACTTAGGAGCAAAATATATAAAACTATAGGTATAGGTAATCCCAGTTTTATTAATAGAAATATACGTAAATGAATGGTGTACTTACCCCACATAGGACCGAAGGATAAACAGACCACCGTCAAAATGAGACATATTCGAAGCCTTCTGTTGTTTGGCCCTTTCTTAAAAGCAATCTCCACCGTCTCCTTTAAACTTCTAAAGTCAAAGAACTCTAACAGAAAACCGGTACAACCCGTTCTTTTAACCTAAAATATATTTTAACATAAATTTCCATTTACATATTTTTTGTTTACATCAGAAATATTTGGGTCATAATACTCTGTTTACAAGAATTTCAATCGTTTGTAGAATTGGATCGATATTCATTAAGATAATATTCGATAAATATTGACTGGTTACTCTCGTTAATAGAAACAAATAGAATACCAACCTTATCTTTGTTCTCTAGCCAAGTGTGATCATCAATTACGAACAATACATAACAGAAATTAGCAAACTGTAAAGCCGCAGATATGCAAAATACTCCGTAATAACCAAGGTATCTCAACAGCACACCGCTAAGTCCCATTCCTATGGGAAATCCCACTGTCATACACAAGTTCAATATACCAATTCGGAACGTTCTTGTTTCTTTAGAAGTTATATCTCCTAAATAACTAAAAGTACCAAGGAACATTGTGTACCACCCGCCTGTTAAAGATGGAAACACAACCTCCATAAACACAGTCCACTCAACTGGGACTTCATAGAAAAAATAGGTGTTTATCATATTTAGTAGACAAGTCATAAATTCCCCTAAGATTGGCATCAGCATGCAGATCTTGCGTTTGCCAGTCTTGTCGCTCCATGCTCCTATAAAGAGCATAAGTATGGTTGGTATTGCGGTATGTACCACACTCTTCCATGCTTGAACTGAAGCTATGAGCTTCTGCACTTCATCCTCCTCATATGTATAATTTGCGCGTTTTCTAAGGCGTAGAGCGGTGCAAGCCGCATCACTGAACTCTAAGTTGACCCTACACGCTTTCTCTAAATTTAAATTCTGTGTGGCCAACATTGCGAGGACACTTGGCATAACAAATAGCGCCAGAACTGGTTCTACGGTTGTATTTGATTTTATATTTTTTAATTTTTGTAACAAAGTCATATTTTGTTTGTTAATCTTTTTTTCCACCTTCAAAGGTAGTTGTTCGGTTACTTTTTCAGCATTCATTTTATCTACCGATTTCTCTACGTTTTCCATTTTTAATTCTTATCTCAAAAAGGTACTTTGCAAAAAAATTAAACTTCAATTCACTATGAGATACTGATCAAGTAATACCATGAATTTGATCCTTAGGGTATTTTCAATAGTTAGTTACATTATGTTACTGATGAGCACATCCACACTGCACCAAGTTAATTACGATACAATATAAATTTTTGTCGCACTACTGACGACCGACGTTTTCGTTCTATTGTTCGATCGTATGTAAGCAAACACTCTATGTTGCCATATCAGTCTTTAATGCGTCCACAAACACTCCCGTAGAAATGAAAATAAACTTAAACGTCGGTAAACTCATACAAGTCGTGTCACAAAATTACAAACAATGGATTGCGTTCGATTTCAAAAAACGAATGAAAACCACTTCGAAACTCGCCAGACTTTTATTAAACATTCACACTTAATCAAAACACACTGTATAATGTCCAATAACACTTTCACTTAAAATAAATGCTTTGGGTTCAATAGTCTAATTAGCAATGGGATGCATTTAAACATCCTTGTTCACGTTTTCCATTTCTTCAACTTGTTTGTTGTCCTTCCTTTGCTCAAAGTACATCCATCTGAAACGGATGAATTGTCGATTATTAAATGAAAAGGAAGTAAAATAGTACACTCGTGGTGAGAGATCGACTGTGAAGTGATGCAGTGGACAATGTGGATTGTATAATATAGCCGCGATGACGACGTACAGTCAGAGTGATAAGTCTTTAAGGGGCGTGTTTCAACCAAACGTCATTTATCTTTCAAAATGTTATTAAAAATAAATTAACTAATTCAATTACATGTAATTAACATGTAATTAAATTAGTTAATTTATTTTTAATTTATAAGACAACTCCCGCACTAGGAATATATCCTGTGTCGCGGGGACTTTACAAACATACATGAAACGGACACAAAGAACACATTGACCAAGAACAAAAAAATTTGGATCACACAAAGTGTTATCCCATATGGGGATCGAACCCACAATACTCAGCGTAGTAGAAAGTGACAAGGTGATCGCTTAAACCACTACGTCATACGTACATTGCAAATCTACATAATCACATCATGAAATGTTAAAACATATTTTAAAAAGCAACAGCACAGCAACAAAGATAATTAAATGTGCTTACTCTCCCATAACAATTTAAATCTATTGTCTAGTACCAAAATCATGTTATGAAATTAATATAGTCCGTTCCTCAAGTTTATATCTGTTTTAAATACCTAACATATCACGTACAATACTAGGGACGCAAGCAAGATTTTGCACTTAGCACAGACACTTATTTCCGAACTTTAGAAGTCTTCGGCTATAACTTAAGCACTTTGAGTCCTGTTTTCATTCGATAGTGTATACAAGTACTAGTGTAGTTTATGCCAGCACTATTCTCAAGGACTTGTGGTTACTGTTGGTATGTTTTCGATGCAATTGAAAGGTTATGTCAGTAAACTGTTGGTCATAGTACAGTTTTGTTTTGTTACAGTTATGGTGACTGATTTTAACCTTCAGGTTTATTTTTATATCACAAAACGAGGTTTACTTGTTTTCAGTTCAGATTCTAGTCTTTAATTCTATTTTTTTTATTAGTTTAATGAAAACTTTCGAAAAATTAAAGTTTTTTTTTTGTCTAATTTAAAGAAAAACAGAAGATTGGTGAATTCTATTTTTTTTTCAACATGCTTTTAAGGAGAAAACTACTGAATAATAATAGCTATAGATGCTTGTAATTCTTCTGTTCTACATCTAGATATAGAACAGAAGAGAGTAACAGTAGTAATAGCAAAATTTCATTTCAATTTTAACTATTACTCATTTAGATTATTATAATCACATACAAAGTTTATTTTACATGTACCTATATGACTTTTATTGTACAAAATATTTGTGTTTACCACAAATTAAATTATGAATATAAGTTAAAATTAAATGATTTTTTTAGACTGCACGGATGGAATGCACGGTGTGAACCACAAATTGTTGTTCTGAGTTTGGGTATTCTTTGTGTCCGTTTCATGTATGTTTGTAAAATCCTCCGCGACATAGAATATATTCCTAGTGCAGGAGTCATCCTTTTATAAAAAATAAATAAAAAAAATAGAAATGTGTTCTCTTGACCATTTATGCAAATTTTATAAATGAAATTCTAATGAAGTACAATCACATTGATAGGTGTTTAAGGGGAGAATTTCAACAGCTTGTCATTTAGTTAATATCTATAAATAATTAATCACGTAAAGTTATTTTTACACTGTTTTAATGATGGGTACACACCAGACAGATTAGCTGCTGGTAAGTCACTACCACTGCTGTGAACACATACAACTCAAGAGTCAGTATTGCGTTGCCCTGACCTTTGAGAACCTCACATTAAATAATTTGGATGATGGTCAACCTATTTTATGTGAGGTTCTCCTTCGTCTCACGCATTCGGTACAATACAGTTAAAAAAATGATTTTCCTGAGATGCTGTAATGTCATTCTTATCGATACAACTCATATTAGCCCTAAAATATGTGTTTAAGCAAGAGTCCCCCACTATTATTTAATTAATTTTAGTATACAGAGCTCTTTAAGAATTGTAATAAAAAAAATATACTTTGACAAAATATTACATTTAACCAATTTCGTTTTAACTAATATTATGTACTGTACCTGAGTCATGAATCTATGTACCTACATAATATTGATATAGATTATTAGTACTACCACTCGACTCAACAAATTTCAAGAGCTAACGATAATACACGATCAAATGAAACACATATTAATCATTTTGTTCATGACTGTATCCATATGAAACCTGATTTAATACACAGTTATCTTTTTTAAGCACAACACGACGATATTATGTTAATATTATAACAGTGTATTATTAATCGTATATTGACGTGACAACGTCTTATAAATTGGTTTGCCGGGTGACACTTCAAGAAACTGCGTTACGCTCCGCTCACGTTATGCGCTCACAATGAGAGCGAGTGAGAGGCACGCGTCCCTTCCAATCGGGCATGGTTAGCCCGCCTAAGAGCGAGAGAGACAGACATAGTCGTTGTCACGTAAAACTTTCGCCCGTATACCGACTTTACAGGCAACCAATTTTTTTATTAATGATCTGTTTCCGTTATGAAAACCTTTCAGGCTAAACATTAAAGATGAGAGACGCCTGCACGTAGCTGAAATGTAAAAGTTAAGATGAATGTGTGATGTGACTAGGATGGACAAGGTAAAGAATAAATACATTAGAGGAAGCCTGAATATGAAATGTTGAGAAGCTATAAACATGTGATACGTTCGAATGAGTATCATGTAGTGAAAAAAATTATGTATAGAAGTTGATGGATATAAGACTAGGACCAAAGAAAAGACCAAAGGGTTGCGTGAAAGAGGATATGGCTAGAATGAGAATAAACAGTGAATTGACAAGTGATAGAGGAGAATGGAAGAAGGAACCTCATTACGCCGATCCCAAATAAATTTCAAGAAAGGGAATGAAGATTATGATTTAAAAAGCTGTGTAATACCTCTACGATCAAAAATGTTCTTAGTTCACAGTTTAGGTAGCAGTCAATGGGAATTCCTTTTCTTATGACCAGATAAGAGATGTTAATTGGCAAATTCATGTAGAAGTGCTAAAATTATATCGCTACTACGGAACTCCTCTTTAGAACCTCTGTGTTCTGTCTGTCTGTGAAAACCTTTTAAATCATGGAGACCGAGTCGCTAAAAAAACTATTTTCTAAATCAATGCAATTAAAAGATACTTGCATAGCTTTAAGTTTAAACAATTTTAACAAATTGATCTACAATTCTGAAATTCAACAAGCAGCAATGTCATAGCATTAATAAAGGAAATTCAAAATTAGTAATAGTAATTTGTTGTAAAATAACAAAAGAAAGCCATTTTTTTTACATTTACAAACTTACATTGTTTGATTCGATATTTGACTGCGATAAATATAGTTGTATTCAATGGTATTTTAGAAGGTTTAAATGGTACTTTAAACATTCTCTTTAAAATAAGCAAAAACCTTCTACATGTAAATGAACGGTACCGTAGACGCATGACTGACCCTCACTTGTGCATTTTTTTTTTAATTTGCATAGATCTGTGTTAGGTTTTGCTGCATGCATCTCAATAGCCGGACAGGTAATAATTGCCACTTATACCGGACGCGCTAACTAGTTATACGTGTGACCTTAATTATTTCTACAGCATCCTACAATGTTATTTGATTTCCCACAAAATGTAAACAAATGCAAATAAATTTTTCATGTGTTATTTGGGATTTAAATATATTTATGAAATTCGTGACCTAATTTTTGATGTAAAAAATATTTATTTATTTTATGCCGCCACGTAATCCATGTGCAGTAATCTTAAAGATGCTTAGGATAACAGTATATTCAAAGATTTCCGTTAGGTCCATTAGGACCTAGATACAAGCAATGCTAACAACATAGTGTTTAATGGTCTTTAATGGATGATATTATAATTTCAAGTTAGTTTATACTACGGCCGACCGCCTTAAGGCCAAGTATATTGATAAAGTTTTTGATGAAGTTTGGAATCAGTGTTTTGGTAAGCGGCGTACTAACGTAAGTTGATTTAAATACCAGGTACGTTACAACGTAAAATATTAATTACACGTTTCTTACAAAACTACAATTTTGGAAGCACACATATGTTATTTAAAAATAAATACATACATATTTACAAATTATACATTTTAATAGAAACTACATCCCCTGATCCTATAGTCTAAACCATCGTTTAATATAAAAGAGCACCTCCCCGATTGAAGTCTGCCCTAATCCTTATCTTGAAATAAAATTAAAAATAAAAGAGTCACGGGAGACTAAACACATTCATGAAACGGACAAAAAACACCCAGACCCAGAACAACAATCACACAAAGTGTTGTGTTATTAAATTACACGTTGTCACATTATGTCACGTGTTAAATGATGTCACATTATGTCGGAGGTGAAGCAAAAGTGTGTTTATGCTCCAACTACACTAGCTTGGGCTACACTTTGAATATTTCTGCTCATGAGTAATAGAGTCCAGACTCCGCAATAACAGCGAGATGAACCTGATGTGACCTTATTTCACCCGAGATCGTTGCTGGTTCACTCCTGTGATCCTAACAAAAGATGGACATATTTGTAAGCGATGTTAACTTCTTCGGGGTTTTGCAATCTCAGTCCCATTTTCTCATCCGAGACTTGTGATATCTTTTATCTTAGCTCCCACGCCCTATCCCTTTTCCTTCTTTCTTTGTTTCTTCTGAAAACTAGCACATACCCAAGAAAACTGTGCTTCAGACTGGTGGCAAGCCTTAAAAGAAACCAGCCAAAACAATTTGTATTACAATACATTACGTTAACAGCAAATAAAACTGGAGAAATGCCAAGAAGAAAATGATGACGATATAAACATAGAGGCTGAAGTAACTAGGTCAAAACTCTACAAAGTTAAATGGCAAAATAATTAAGATTTCGATAATAACATCCACGATATTTTCTTATCTGCAGTGTTATTTAGACAAAGAGATTAGTCGTTACTGGGCA